CATTATTATTTTTTCCTTAAAGTCTTGAGCTTCCTTTTTTAAGCTGATGCAGAAAAAGCGACAGGTAAGACATTGATACAACAAAAAAAAGGAGGGGAAAAAATGGCATTAATTAATGGGGGTCATGGTGAATGATCACGGGAATATTAGTTTAAAGGTAGTTAGGAACTGGAACTATCGGGCTGGGAAGTCAATTTCATCCCATTTTTAAAGGTAGGTAACCCCTTCCCTTTCCCAGAAGTGGACGACCTTGCGTGTCGGGAGAAAAAATATTCGTCATGTCGACGGTTTTGTCTGCCAATCGGTATGGTCAAATAATCTTCACAATTTCCTTGTGATTGAAATGTTTAGGTTTAGTTTTTAAAACTTTTCGCTTCTGGAATAACATATTTTTAAACTGAATATTCCTCAGAGACGCTCATCTGAAGAGAATTCAGTCATTCTTACGCGATATAATGTTGGGAGTTTGTGAACCCAAAGAGCGATGACATAGTAAGAGTGAAAATTCTTGACAGTTCACTTTCAAATTTGGCAAAAGGGATGATTTGTTAATATAGTGATAATTTTGTTAATTTCTGTAGAAATGCAGCTTCAAGCTCTTGTTAAATTTTAATTTTTGATGCTGTTATCCCATGGTTATGCGTGAGAAGGTTTAAGGTATTCTTTTTTTGCAATGGCTTTTCTGGCCACCTTGGGAGGGATGCTGTACACACTAATATCAATATTCTAAAGGGACTTTTCTCTTCTCCCCCCCCTCTTTTAAATAGCTGTATACCCAGGAAATTGCGTCCTTCGGGTTTCTGCATCAGTGATTTTGCTGAAAAACTCCCTGCGGGGCCATGGATATTGGGTTCGGGTGGAACCTAGGGTCACGTTCGGGCTGGTTTCACTGCCTCGGCCAGATGTGGAATTTCCCTTTTGAGGGTTCAGGTGATGCAAGTTGGTGCCTGGCACCGTTTACTTATGAAATGTGTTGAAGTTAAAAGTAAAATCCTTAAAAATTTGTAATATCGTGTTTTTCAAAGGTTGATATAAACATTGTTGTGGCCTCTTTTTTTTTGTGAATGAGTGATAGTGATATGCGAGTCTGTTAGGGGCCTTTGTTATAATAAGGGATAAAAAAAATTTTGTTTTTGCCGGTAATGTGTGCTGTACTTGTACTACAGTACTTTGGCCCAAGAGATGGAGGGAGAATGGTTGCAATAATTCAGGGTGTGATTCGCTTGGGCTACTATACTGAAAAATGGGGCTAATGTAAAATTTGGTTCATTGTTTTTCTTACTGTTCGAGAACTCGGGAATAAGGGGTTTGTGTATTCGCCACTCAATATTTCTCACGATGTTGGTAAGAAATTTTAAAAATTCAGCCTTTTTCTTCATTCCCTTTTGGGAGTTTTAGCCCAAAGCTTTCCCCATATCCCAAAACTAGACCCAAGTAAAGCTACGCATTTAAAGTACAGGGTATAAACTGGAATACACTTCAGACACAGTTCGGTTTGATAGGGGTTTTTAACAGTAGGGGCACCAACCTGTGAGATATTTAGTTGTGTATGTAGATAAGTGGGTTTACAGAGGCCCGACTTTCCTTTTCACTTTGTTTGTTTTTAGCATCTGTTTTTTCCTTGGGGAAGAATTGCTTTTTTTTGACTTTTGTGGTTTATCCTTTAGAGGGCTAGTTTCCTCCACTCCCTTTTTTGGCTGTGTCCAGGATCTGGTAGGAGGGTTTAGCTTTGAGAGGACATCATTCGAGTGCCCCTTTAGGGGCTGATACTTGGGGAATCTTCAGGGTGTCACCAGGCTCGTCCCCGGGGGTCCTCGCCTTGAAGAGACTTTGGGAAATGACAGGGCGGTTGGGGAACACATAATAAACTATATAAATTTTACTGGTTCCAATTTTCCCTCTCTTCTTCCTCTTTTTGTGTGTTTTCCTTACCTTCCTTCCTCTTAACTTCTCTAATTCCTTTTCCTTTTTTTCCCCATTTTACCTTTTCTCTTGCGCCTTTTGCTGTTCCCGACCCCTTTAACCTTTTCGCCCCATTTATCCCACCTCACGTATCCCTACTACCTCCCATCGACTTTTTTTGGTGAATTTTTCCCCATTTATATCTTATTCGCCCATCAAAACGGTCAGGGTTTTTACAACCTGAGGCAGCACCTGGTCACTTAAAAATTGTAGACCCCACGCCTGTCAACCAAAGCACGCACACATGCATGCATTTATTTTCGGCGCGCGTCGATTTTAAAGAAAACATCACGCACTAAAACCCACATCAGGAGAAACCTTTCCCGGGGAATAAAAAGCCATATTATCCTCCTAAAGACCTCGTAGCCTGGCAATAATAATAAAATAATAAGGGGGGGGGCGGCTTCAGAAGTTTTTTTGGGGAAAGGGTGGGTAGAAACAGGTTTGAAGAGGGGGGGGGGGGGCTAGGGACTCATCTGGAAGCAGCATTACTTTATTTTTTTTTTTTTGGTGAGGTTCTGGGGGGTGATGGAAATTTTTGGGGGGGTTCAGTTTCCCCTTGCAGTAGCTTACGGGGTTAATTAGGGTTAAAAGTTAAAAAAAAGTGCATTTTTTTTTTAATATTTAAATATTGGGCCATTGGTTTTAAAATTTTAGGCGGCAGCTGCCCTTTCTGATTTATCTTGAGGCACAATCCTGTGGTAAGTGTACACAATCAGAACATTTCATCGTAAAACCACCCGAATGTCTATGCTTACCCCTTCCCTTTAAGAAAAAAATGAAGTATTTAAAGCAATACTTTAAATTTAATTTAATTAACTTTTTTTATAATTTATATTTTAAATTTTAAATTGTATAAATTTTATTTTCACGTGCCCCATTCTGATTTTTCCCATTTATGCAAACACTGCGCCTATTTGTCAACCATGCCTCTACCCGGAAAGAATTTTTCCTATTCCTGTGCCGTAAGTTTTCCCCAAAGCCCCTTTATGCGGAACTCTATCAAAACCTTTCCGAAGTCCATAAATATCAATTTTTTGCCATGATTACCTCCTCAAATACCTTAGTGAAAAAAAATAAATTCTAAACAGGAATGCCCTTTGTATAGATACCAAATAACTCATCTTCCCTTTTAGTTGTCAAAAACATTTTTTTTAGCCATACCCACCCCGTCCTCCACCCATCATTTTGAGTTACTAGTTTTGTCTTTTTCAAGTCCACCCCCTTTAACGTCCAGTTTAATCAAAGACCGGGATACCTACCGAAACTACAAATTTTCTTGCTGCCATTTCTTTTGTTTTTAAAGGGTTTGTTAAAAAAGTTTTTTTGTTAACTGTCGTATTGTAATGTTTAGTTTGGGTAGAAAAATAATGCAGACACCCGTTAAAGCATGAGTCCTCCAACCTAACCCCAAAGGAATGGGGGTAAAGGATCTGCTTCCCCAGGTTTCCATCGGTTTATCAAATTTTTTGGGTCTGGGAAAAAACTGGGTGGGCCAATAGGAGAAAGCCTTGCCCATTTTTACCCAATCAGCAATGACATCCAGAGTTCCCAAACCCGCTGCTGTCCCTCTCAAAAATATTACCTCCTATTCCTGGTTCCTGATGAACTCCATTGCAAGAACTAATAAATGCTTTTTTTGGGCAGATTCCAGTGAACAGTGAATATAGAGTCAACAGGCTTAGGGTGGTTACAAATAATTCTGGCAGTTTGGCGACGTAACAAAAAAAATATTAATGATTAAACTAGATTTTGAAGCTTACTAAAAACAAAAGAGCTTTTCCAACTGCTCTGCAATTTTAGTCGAGAAAACCCCTTAATGGCATAATAATAACCTTTGAAGATAATGTTTTTTTGTATCCCCAAACTTGATCATGTATGAGAGAAAACTGACAATAGGTTAGCATAGATATATGTAGTATGGTGCACCCTGCAAAGGGGCCATAATATTGGTTTTTTGAAACCTTCGTGGAGAAATGAATAGTTTGGGGCCCCGTTAGGGAGGAATGGGAAATAAAGAGTTTAAACAACTTAGAATAACATTTTTTATAATAGGGGAGCGCTAAACCTGTAGGGGTTATACGCGCCTGTACGGGGGGGGGGAATGGAAAGGGATTCAGGATAATTTTAAGGAACTGGGCACGATACAATTCCCTAAAAAAAGAGCCCCCTTTAAAAGCATTAGGGAAACCCCCCTTTAGGGGCAATTGTTATAAGATGGCTGAAGAAAATTTTGTACACAATAATGGTATTCATAAAGAATGGTATGTGCCCCTATGGTATCCCAATGACATGTTTAAAAAAGTTACTTCTGATTTAGGTCCCTGTATATGAATGCTCTCCCTGGGTAATTTCTATTCCACTGTTCCACTGACCTTCGAGTTAAAAATCCGAACAAAATCTTATTTTACACATTTTCCACCAAGCAAGTAGTGTTATTAAATCACGGAAAACCCGTGAATTTATCTGTATCCCCCAATTATTTGGGGCTTTATCGCAAATATAGTCAGAGCAAATCATGCAACAACGTGTGATGAGAGCATAAATTGTGAGGAGGGTAATATGTACTTGCCTATTTATGGTTGCTGGGGCCGATTCATGGCTCCTAGCCTCGCCTCTTCGCTGATCGCTGCTAGGTCCTCTCTCCTTGTTCCAAGGTCTTTGTGAGTTTAGTGCTTACTTTTAATTACCTCCCTGCTTCAAGAGTTTTATCGTACCTCTTAAAGCTACGTATGAATTCTGCCTCTACTATATTACTTTCCAGATTGTTCCACTTCCTAACAGCTCTGTGACTGAGGTGCAGTACATATCTGTTAATAATGGAGGGCATTACTTCGTTACATTAGGTTATGATGGGTTGAGTTAGTTTTACTTGGTTTTTCCAATCTGATAACATAAAACTATCTCCATGGCAGCAACCCAGTTAATATTGTATATTTTAAACAAACACATCACCAAAATATGACGAGGAGCAACATTATTATATATGTACAATGTATCAGTAGTGCATGTATATATGTTCCTTTTAAATTATCTTGATTAGCCTCCCTCTCTTCAGACTGTATCAATACGAGTGTCGGTGCATGGCCAACTCTTCAGGAAAGACTTGTGAATGGGGCGGTGACTGTCCCGATGCTACGCACAAAGCGCTCTGCAACCACCATGGACACTGCCAGTAAATGTCTCCTCAATCATTATTTTTATTCATTCAGCCTAATTTATTTCCTTTTAAGTCACATTGAAGTGCCTTGTATAACTTATAAATGAGTATGTACTACTTATAATTACTAATTACTATGTACTATGTACTATAATATTAAGTACCTAGCTACTACAGTGTATTACATAAATTCAAGCAAAATGTACGTAATTCTTATTCCGTTTTTATTTTTCAAAATCTTGTAAGATGCTTTGCTCTAAAGTATTCTGGGCATGTATAGCTGCAATAAATTGAAAAAAAAAAACAATCACTGTGCATTAACGTTTCCTACACCATCATTTTTAATGTGTTAATTCTTCTATTGCTTTGTTATAGATTTTTTAATACTGGCTGTCTCCCACAGAGGTAGTGACCCCAAAAAGAGGAAACCCATTCACTGTCATTCAGTCACTGTCTTGCCAGAAGTGTGGTGACATCACAGTTCAGATGGTTCACTGAAATAAAAGATTCTAACTTCTCCTTCAGAGTTCAGGCACTGTACTTTCCACCTCCAGGACTCAAGTTGGCTAACCAGTTTTTCTGAATCCCTTTGTAAATGTTGCCTTGCTCACACTTCAACAGCACGTCAAGTCATAAAAGCCACTTGCCTCCACTCGCTCTGATGTGAGATTTGCTCTCACAAGCGTGATAGATGCTCATTCCCCTAGCACTTAAAACCACCTTTACCACCCCCCTCCAAAAATTTCTGGGATGACCCCTACCCTTTCTTCTCTCTGCCCCAGATTTATATATGCTACATCATATTTTGCTCCATTCCCTCTAAATATTCAAACCACTTCTAGAACCCCTCCTTAGCCCTCTGAATTATACTTATGGTAACCCGCCACACCTAATCTATAATCTCCAGATTTTCTACAAAATATTCACACTATACATTGCCCTCAAATATGACATCTCCACTGCCTCTAGCCACTTCCTCACTGCAGTGTTCAAACCATTGCCTCTTATTTCAAATACTCGTTTGTACTTCATGTTGTACGTATTTTGTATACTGTATTTTTACCACTGAATATATCGTTGCTTAGTTAATCTTAAGTTAATTTTAAGCCTGCTTACAATGCACTGCATGCAAGGGGGCTTTTGGCATGTACACTCAACCACTGTATTTCTTTTGTACGAATATGTGGCGGGTGGAAACATTTCGACACGTTTCCTTACACCTGTTGTCCTGTTCACCTAGCAGCAAATAGGTATCTGGGTGTTAGTCGACTGGTGTGGGTCGCATCCTGGGGGACAAGATTAAGGACCCCAATGGAAATAAGTTAGACAGTCCTCGATGACGCACTGACTGACTTGGGTTATCCTGGGTGGCTAACCCTCCGGGGTTAAAAATCCGAACGAAATCTTATCTTATATCATATCCAAATAATAATACATAAATAAATAAAACCCATAAGTGTTGGCACCACTATACTCTGGTACATTCTCCTTTTTTGCCTCCACTTTTTTTTTTTTTTTCTCCAAGGATGCTTCAGTGCACCACCCACTTTCATTGAAGATGTTATGAAAAATTTGAGGGTAACAAAAAAGTCTTAAGCAATGGTAGATTGAATATCATTTGATGGAGAAACTAGGGAGGAAGTGGCTGTCCTTAGATATTTGGGGATGGACATACAAGTAAATGGGTTTATGAAAGATGAGATGAACCACAGAATTGATGAGGGGGAAAAGGTGGGTTGAGTAGTCACTTGTGTGTGGTTGCAGGAGTTGTCACAGCTCCTGGCCCCATGGAAAGAAAAGTTTATATGGAGGCCAGAAAAAATGGGGGGGGGGGGATGTATCATAATACGAACGCTTTTATTTGGGTGTGAGGCATGGGTTTTAAATGCTGCAGTGAGGTGGCAACTGGAGGCAGTGGAGATGTCATGGTTTAGAGGAATGTGAGGTGAATATTGTTCAGAAAAAAAATAGGAGCGTAGAAATTAAGTTGCGATGTGATGGTGTTGAGAAAGTTTGTGCATGTAGAGAAGGTTGGAGAGAAATAGGATGACATTACTGGGTCCAACCATTCCTGGGATGACCCACGAATGGTTAGGAGGGGGGGACAAAAGTGGTTTTAAGTTTTAGGGGCTTGAGCATCTGGTAGGCTTGTTTGAGCAGGTTAGGGGTGAATGAAGACAATATAGCTTTTAATGGATATGCTGTTGAAGTTTGAGCATGGTAACTTTTTATGAAGGGATTCAGGAAAACTAGTTAGCTGAATACGAGTCCTGGAGGTGAGAAGAGAAGTACTGTACGTACCTGCACTCTGAGAGAGGGATGGGGATTGTGAAGTCTAGAGGATAATCTTAATTGTGATATCTGCACACTTCTGGCATAACAACAGTTGAATGAATAATGTGATTGTATTTTTTGGTACACCCTGTCATGGTAGGAGAGAGCCATTAAGGTTAAAAGAAAATTATAAGCATTTCTGCAAATGATCATTTATGAAATAGGTTTTCCTTTTCAGGTATCACAGAGGCAAGAATGTGTGTGTGTGTGATGAAGATTACTTTGGCCAGCACTGCGAGTATCATGAGTCTGCTGCCCCAGAATATAAAGGCAGTAAGCACTCAGTAAATGTTCCCCCAAAAAATAATTTTTAGTCTTTTACTCTGATCAGTATTTTGTAATTCATATGGCTTCCCTTATGTTTAAGATTTAATTTTATTATAACTCAGAATTTGAGGAGTTATGTTTCCTGGTTGCAGTGAGCTTTTAAAATTATTGAACAAATCTATCTTACTAGACTGTCAAGTAACAACCTTATATTATTATTTAATCATATCCAGATTTTGTAATACACATTACCTAATGCTCTTTATTTTTTCAGAATGCAGTGATTACTTGCAGTGTGAACACACTTGCCATATTGCTGGAAGAACTCTAAAGTGTCAGTGTCGTGCTGGCTACAAATTGATAAATGAAACACAATGTATAGAAATGGGTAATATAACATGTATTTTATTAGCACCTGCTTTATAACTTAGTAGGGTAGGATTTATTCACTTAAACAATATTAAATATCAGTGTTGCTTTGATGCTTTTATGCACAAAATGTACTTGAACTTGAATTTTATTGTCAGTATACAAAATACCTATTTTTAATATACATATCAATGTGATTTATGTACTTGCAAATTTTATAGTTTCATAAAATTTTAACTATAGAGGCACTTATTTTGTATAATTTTTTCTTTTTTTTTTTGCTTGCTCGTTTACTCAAGAAATTGATTTTTTGTATTTTACTGTAGGTACTAGGCTGGCAGATAGCAACCACCCACCAAGGTACTACCATCCTGCCAAGTGAGTGTAAAACGGAAGCCTTTTTTTTTTTTTTTTAGCCTGTAATTGTTTTACATAATGGTAGAATTACTGGTGTCTTTTTTTTTACTGTCTTATAAACATGCAAGATTTCAAGTACAGCTTGCTACTTGCTACTTGGGTCACACTGCACATGCATAGACAAGCATATACAGTATATACATGCCCCTCTGGGTTTTCTTCTATTTCCTTACTAGTTCTCATTTATTTCCTCTTATCTTCATGAGGAAGTGGAACAGAATTCTTCCTCCATAAGCCATGTGCGTAATAAGAGGCAACTAAAATGCCAGGAGCAAGGGGTTAGTAACCCCTTCTTGTATATATTACTAAATTTAAAAGGAGAAACTTTTGTTTTTCTTTTTGGGCCACCCTTCGTTGTTGGGATACGGCCAATTTGTTGAAAGAAGAAAAATACCCCACACACACACACTCGCTCAGACACAGACACAGACTCAGAAGTGTCCCTGTTTGCAGATGATGTAAAGTTAATGAGGAGAATTTAATCAGATGAGGATCAGGCAGGACTACAAAAGAGACCTGAACAGGCTGGACGTGTGGTTCAGCAACTGGCTCCTCGAATTTAACCCCGCCAAATGCAGTCATGAAGATCGGGGAAGGGCAAAGAAGACCGCAGACAGAGTATAGGCTAGGTGGCCAAGGACTGCAAACCTCACTCAAGGAAAAAGATCTTGGGGTGAGTATAATACTGAGCATGTCTCCGGAAGATCACAACCAGATAACTGCTGCAGCACGTGGGCTCCTGGCAAACCTGAGAATAGTGTTCCGATACCTCGGTAAGTAATCGTTCAAGACACTACACCGTGTACGTCAGGCCCATACTGGAGTATGCAGCACCAGTTTGGAACCCACACCTGTTCAAGCACGTCAAGAAATTAGAGAAAGTGCAAAGGTTTGCAACAAGGCTGGTGCTAGAGCTAAGGGAATGTCCAACGAAGAAAGGCTTAAGGGAAATCGGCCTGATGACACTGGAGGACAGGAGGGTTAGGGATGACATGATAACGACACAAAATACTGCAAGAAATAGATAAGGTGGACAGAAACAGGATGTTCCAGAGAGGGGACACAGAAACAAGGGGTTACAATTGGAAATTGAAGACTCAGGTGAATCAAAGGGATGTTAGGAAGTATTTCCTTAGCCATAGAGTTGTCAGGAAGTGGAATAGTCTGGCAAGTGATGTAGTGGAGGCAGAAACCATACATAGTTTTAAGACGAGGTTTGATAAAGCTCATGGAGCAGGGAGGGAGAGACTGGATCTACTAGTAGCGACCAGTGAAGAGGTGGGGCCAGGAGCCGAGTCTCAACCCCTGCAACCACAGTTCGGTGAGTGCACACCACACACGCGGGCGCGCACACAGTGGGCCTTCTTACTAGAATATGCTATGTACTATAACACTAGTCTGTACTACTCTTGAATTTACCCATACCTCATCTGTTGTATGGGGAAAAGCAAATTTTACCAGAGATTTCAATAGACAGAGATATATATTAAAAATGACTTAAACAAAAATATACCATTTTTAACACTTAACTTTTTATTTTTTTTACACGATTCTTTGCTACAGATGATTTGTGGGATGTCACAGTGAAGGTTCAGAACTATCATCAGAATATTTCACTTAAGGAAAAGGTCAGTGTATACTTGTAAACAAGTCATACTGCAAAAACTTTTTTTTTTTTTTTTTTTTTGTTCCTTACCATATGTATTCCTGGAGTTTACCTGGAGAGAGTTCCGGGGGTCAACGCCCCCGCGGCCTGGTCTGTGACCAGGCCGCCTGGTGGATCAGAGCCTGATCAACCAGGCTGTTGCTGCTGGCTGCACGCAAACCAACGTACGAGCCACAGCCCAGCTGGTCAGGAACCGACTTTAGGTGCTTGTCCAGTGCCAGCTTGAAGACTGCCAGGGGTCTGTTGGTAATCCCCCTTATGTATGCTGGGAGGCAGTTGAACAGTCTCGGGCCCCTGACACTTATTGTATGGTCTCTTAACGTGCTAGTGACACCCCTGCTTTTCATTGGGGGGATGTTGCATCGTTTGCCAAGTCTTTTGCTTTCGTAGTGAGTGATTTTCGTGTGCAAGTTCGGTACTAGTCCCTCTAGGATTTTCCAGGTGTATATAATCATGTATCTCTCCCGCCTGCATTCCAGGGAATACAGGTTCAGGAACCTCAAGCGCTCCCAGTAATTGAGGTGTTTTATCTCCGTTATGCGCGCCGTGAAGGTTCTCTGTACATTTTCTAGGTCAGCAATTTCACCTGCCTTGAAAGGTGCTGTTAGTGTGCAGCAATATTCCAGCCTAGATAGAACAAGTGACCTGAAGAGTGTCATCATGGGCTTGGCCTCCCTAGTTTTGAAGGTTCTCATTATCCATCCTGTCATTTTTCTAGCAGATGCGATTGATACAATGTTATGGTCCTTGAAGGTGAGATCCTCCGACATGATCACTCCCAGGTCTTTGACGTTGGTGTTTCGCTCTATTTTGTGGCCAGAATTTGTTTTGTACTCTGATGAAGATTTAATTTCCTCGTGTTTACCATATCTGAGTAATTGAAATTTCTCATTGTTGAACTTCATATTGTTTTCTGCAGCCCACTGAAAGATTCGGTTGATGTCGCCTGGAGCCTTGCAGTGTCTGCAATGGAAGACACTGTCATGCAGATTCGGGTGTCATCTGCAAAGGAAGACACGGTGCTGTGGCTGACATCCTTGTCTATGTCGGATATGAGGATGAGGAACAAGATGGGAGCGAGTACTGTGCCTTGTGGAACAGAGCTTTTCACCGTAGCTGCCTCGGACTTTACTCTGTTGACGACTACTCTCTGTGTTCTGTTAGTGAGGAAATTATAGATCCATCGACCGACTTTTCCTGTTATCCCTTTAGCACGCATTTTGTGCGCTATTACGCCATGGTCACACTTGTCAAAGGCTTTTGCAAAGTCTGTATATATTACATCTGCATTCTTTTTATCTTCTAGTGCATTTAGGACCTTGTCGTAGTGATCCAACAGTTGAGACAGACAGGAGCGACCTGTTCTAAACCCATGTTGCCCTGGGTTGTGTAACTGATGGGTTTCTAGATGGGTGGTGATCTTGCTTCTTAGGACCCTTTCAAAGATTTTTATGATATGGGATGTTAGTGCTATCGGTCTGTAGTTCTTTGCTGTTGCTTTACTGCCCCCTTTGTGGAGTGGGGCTATGTCTGTTGTTTTTAGTAACTGTGGGATGACCCCCGTGTCCATGCTCCCCCTCCATAGGATGGAAAAGGCTCGTGATAGGGGCTTCTTGCAGTTCTTGATGAACACGGAGTTCCACAAGTCTGGCCCTGGGGCAGAGTGCATGGGCATGTCATTTATCGCCTGTTCGAAGTCATTTGGCGTCAGGATAACATCGGATAGGCTTGTGTTAACCAAATTTTGTGGCTTTCTCATAAAAAATTCGTTTTGATCTTCGACTCTGTCTGGTTAGCGGCTTGCTAAAAACTGAGTCATATTGGGACTTGAGTAGCTCACTCATTTCCTTGCTGTCATCTGTGTAGGACCCATCTTGTTTAAGTAGGGGCCCAATACTGGATGTTGTTCTCGACTTTGATTTGGCATAGGAGAAGAAATACTTTGGGTTTCTTTCGATTTCATTTATGGCTTTTAGTTCTTCCCATGATTCCTGACTCCTATAAGATTCCTTTAGCTTGAGTTCGATGCTTGCTATTTCATCTTGTAAATAAGTATTTTAATAATAATAATATTTCTACATGTACGAGGTATACAGGGCTAGCTGATATCAGTAACATACTATGTCTGCCCGAAATGCCTCGGCATGATAATGGCTTTCTTTGCTCCGGTCATTTTATATGTAAACACACATTGTAACCTTAGCAAAGAAATAAATATTTTATCTTTTATTTATGTATATAGAAAGCTGCTTGTTATTACCTGGAGTTTACCTGGAGAGAGTTTCGGGGGTCAACGCCCCCGCGGCCCGGTCTGTGACCAGGCCTCCTGGTGGATCAGCGCCTGATCAACCAGGCTGTTGCTGCTGGCTGCATGCAAACCAACATACGAGCCACAGCCCGGCTGATCAGGAACTGACTTTAGGTGCTTGTCCAGTGCCAGCTTGAAGACTGCCAGGGGTCTGTTGGTAATCCCCCTTGTGTGTGCTGGGAAGCAGTTGAACAGTCTCGGGCCCCTGACACTTATTGTATGGTCTCTTAACGTGCTAGTGACACCCCTGCTTTTCATTGGGGGGATGGTGCATCGTCTGCCAAGTCTTTTGCTTTCGTAGTGAGTGATTTTCGTGTGCAAGTTCGGTACTAGTCCCTCTAGGATTTTCCAGGTGTATATAATCATGTATCTCTCCCTCCTGCGTTCCAGGGAATACAGGTTTAGAAACCTCAAGCGCTCCCAGTAATTGAGGTGTTTTATCTCCGTTATGCGCGCCGTGAAAGTTCTCTGTACATTTTCTAGGTCGGCAATTTCACCTGCCTTGAAAGGTGCTGTTAGAGTGCAGCAATATTCCAGCCTAGATAGAACAAGTGACCTGAAGAGTGTCATCATGGGCTTGGCCTCCCTAGTTTTGAAGGTTCTCATTATCCAGAGCATTTTGGGCAAATTAGGCCAGTTTTGTCCCAGGATGCAACCCACACCAGTCAACTAACACCCAGGTACTCATTTAACTGATGGGGAACGTAGACAACTGGTGTAAAGAAACACACCCAATGTTTCTACCCTCGCCGGGAATCGAACCCGGACCCTCGCCGTATGAAACGAGCTTTAGCCTCCAGGCTTATCAGATTGTTATAAAATTGTAACAAAGTATTTCCTGAATTCTTATAAAAATGACAAACTTCTTTGCATAATAAGTTGAATCTCGTTTACACGGTACTTCACCAGAACACATTTTTTATTGCAATGTCAAAAAACTCCATTTAATTTTTCTGACTTGTCAGTAACTACTTTGTTCATTCTTGTAATTAGCCTTTTTTAACTGTATTATTATTATTATTATTATTTTTTTTTTCTTTCTTTCTTTCTTTCTCTGATCAGTACCCTATGCTAGACACAAGCTTAGAGAATCCCACACCTTCATATATGTACTTTTTGGAGGATAAAGTGGTTTTAGTCCTAGTGTGTTACCCAACATACATACTCTGGGATTTTCAGATATACTGTAAATCTGTATTGATAATGTTATGAAAATAAATTTTAATTTTGAATCTGAATATTCATTCACTAAGTTTCAAATAATCTAAAGCATGGTGGTCAAAAGGTCTTTCCACCACATAACCTTACCTGTTTCATGAAATACATGAGATTTAATTTGCACAATTGTACACTGTGCAGCCAATGGACTGAATCACAATGCAGTGTGGTAATTGGCTCATCACACCAACCAAATAAGCTGACAGCTTTCTGGAAGTCTCGAAATCTTATGTATATTATCCCTGCTTTGACTGTCCTCTCAGAAAACTAGCATGCCTAGGAATGCTAGTGGCCTTCTTCATAATTAATATTTTGTGTGTAAACCACACATTGTAAGCATTGCAAGGAAATAAACATTTTAATTTTAAAAGATACCAGTTTGGCTTAAATAAAAATCTGTTCCATGATAGTAGGATGTATTTCATATGTAGAAGATTTCACTTGTGTAGCTAATTTATTAAGAAACTTCAAATATCATAAATGTTATTACAACACAGTTGTCATCTCCTGTTGGCCAACTTATTGTGAGACTTTAATAACCACTACTTGTGTAGTGACTACTCCCCATAGTGGGGACCTTGTGAAATTTAACCTGAAGATACCTTATTCAACTTGCCTGAACAAATTTTAGGATTCTGTTGACAAATGTGGCTCTGTATTGACTTGTGAGATTTTAATAAAGATGAATTAAATAGCCATAAGACATTAAAAAAAACTTGCTTGTGGTGGGGCCTCTTAATTTATTGCCACCTGCATCGCAAAATTAATCCAATTGGCATTTCTTTTTCTGCTGCGAGCCCCCTAAATGACTGAATGTTATATATTGTTCATTCTATTTCACTGCCAACTTGTGATTAATATTTAATGTACCATCACTATAATTGTGTGTACTAATATTAAGACAAAATATATATAATTACTGTATGGAAATTTAAATGTTTAGTTAAGGTATTTACTGTACTGTATCTATAAACATACTAGCTTAGGAGCATTTTCCATGAGTAGTGTAAAATGTGTGGCTGCAAAATTTTGTAACTATACATGGAATCGCATCTGCTAGAAAAATGACAGGATGGATAATGAGAACCTTCAAAACTAGGGAGGCCAAGCCCATGATGACACTCTTCAGGTCACTTGTTCTATCTAGGCTGGAATATTGCTGCACACTAACAGCACCTTTCAAGGCAGGTGAAATTGCCCACCTAGAAAATGTACAGAGAACTTTCACTGCGCGCATAACGGAGATAAAACACCTCAATTACTGGGAGCGCTTGAGGTTCCTAAACCTGTATTCCCTGGAACACAGGAGGGAGAGATACATGATTATATACACCTGGAAAATCCTAGAGGGACTAGTACCGAACTTGCACACGAAAATCACTCGCTCACTACGAAAGCAAAAGACTTGGCAGACGATGCACCATCCCCCCAATGAAAAGCAGGGGTGTCACTAGCACGTTAAGAGACCATACAATAAGTGTCAGGGGCCCGAGACTGTTCAACTGCCTCCCAGCACACATAAGGGGGATTACCAACAGACCCCTGGCAGTCTTCAAGCTGGCACTGGACAAGCACCTAAAGTCAGTTCCTGATCAGCCGGGCTGTGGCTCGTACGTTGGTTTGCGTGCAGCCAGCAGCAACAGCCTGGTTGATCAGGCTCTGATCCACCAGGAGGCCTAGTCACAGACCGGGCCGCGGGGGCGTTGACCCCCGGAACTCTCTCCAGGTAAACTCCAGGTAGTGTGGTGAATTCTTGTGATACAGAATTTTAACCCTTCTGTACTTAGATTTGAATATTTATGGTGTTATGCAGTTTGAGCATATTACTCTAGTTAATCATTTAAGCATTGTGAAAGATAATTTTTGTCTTCAGACTCATCAGATTCTTCAGGAAGTTGGGCTCAAAGATCTGAACCTCAGTGTTCCACCCAACAGGTGAGGTACAGTACAGTACTTGGGATACTATAAGTGAACAGCAGGGTAGAGCAGTGCAGTAGTTTGCTTAATTCCTGTCAATCAGATCTTGCTATATGCACTATTGTGTTAGTGTTAGATGTACTTTCAGTGAATAGGCTTTAACTCCCTAACCCTTTCAGTTACATAGATCCATGTTACTGATGCCAGTGTTACTTGTGTAGCTGTACATTTTAAGCACAGCACCCTCAAATATCCTGTGATTAGTAAATTGTAGCCAACACATGAGAAATTGGATGTGTGCAGTGAGTGTTCATTGTATAAAAACAAAATCCTGTCCAATGCTCTGCATGATGGGGAAAGGAAACATCTTATTTTGTGTGTGGTTTAAAATAATGACTTTTTGATGTTGTCTAGGGTAGTTCTTATGACTGTTTCTCAGTATCAGTTTATAGAATGGAAGACACATTAGTGAGGTAGAGATGATTTGAGTCTGTTTGACAGGAAGTAGCTTGAAATAGGACTCAAAGTAGTGGACATATTTGACTTTTGACGAATTTCCAGGGGAAGGGTGGGGACCCCTTTCCAGCCACGGTCTGTTTTATGGGTTTTTATTTAGTCAATTAATCATTAGGTCTATTTCAGTTATTAGATAGCCTAAACAAAGACCAGTCATTCTTGATCATATTTTATTAATCTGAGAAAGGCTAAAACTTTGATCTTTTGTGTGATAATTCAAAATGGAGGGTAAATGTTATATAGGAGAGGCCTAGGTAAGTTATTAATGAACTTTGTACAAGCAGCATTAGTGACCAGAATGCCTACAATGTTTATTTTGGACTATTTTAATATTTGAATTTATTGAATTTTGTGTGAACTTGCCAAATTAGCAACTTCTGGGCAATTTATAGGGTAGTTCTGTAAGTTGAGCACTTGCACTCAGCTGATCGAACAGAAGACATACTAGCAAGTTGAGAAAAGGGATTGACTTTAAATTAGGATCCAATGTGAGTGAAATCGCCGATTCGTAAATTGTGCCCAGACTGCCAATTTTGCTTCTGCGTAATTCTGCAAATTTTCTATCAAATTTCATATTTTTGGCGTCATTACATTCAGAAAAATATCTATTATTTCGGATTTTTTAAATTACAATACTGTCAGCTCTTTTAATTTCATGGGTCATGAAATTGAAAGGATTATCAAATACGTACAGTATTTTTTCATGCCCTCTTCATTCAGACTGGGTGAGAAGGGGTTGTTTAGGGGGTTTGGGCATATGGATAGGGGTAGGGGGACATCCTAAATGTTTTGTTGTTCACATGACAGTGCATTCATTAAAATTCACTGGTCTCTATACTCTTAATTTATATGCTCTCACAACTGGATGCTCAAGCCCTTAAAACTCAGAGCTTCCTTTACCCTTTTCTCCCTGTCATTCCTGGGACAACCTCTACCTTTCCTACATTCCACCACAGGTTTACACATCCTTGTTTGTCATCCCAATCCCTATCCTTCCTCTCTAAATGCCTAAACTACCTCCCCTTAACCATCTGACTTTTCCCCACCATTGGTGACTGCACACCATCTTTTAATTTCTGCACTCTGAGCCCTCTGCTTAAAGTTCACACCACACATTAATTTCAACATGTCATCTCTACTGCCACTTGCCTTCTCTTCCCCCCCTAGCACGTTTTATAAATAAGGAAGACAGATGCCAATTGAAGCTATGCAAAGCTCAAATAAAATATTTGATAAAACATTGCTAATTGTGATTTAATGTTATTAGTCAACTCTTCAGAAATGTGCACTCACACAAGACTAAAATTATCTTGAAATTGAAGCCACTTTGAATTATAACTTGTGAAATGTAAGTTTTATGTTGGCTTAAGTTGTATCATTGCTTACTTCTATTTGTTTAACTTCCATTATTTAATAATAAATTAACAAATTGTAGATGACAATGGTTTAGTGTTGTGATTAGGATGTCCTATCTACATGTTAATTTTCATTTTTCCCCTTAAGTTCTAAGGAGGAGAAAGTTCACTTTGCTGTGAAGAATCGAACACTCGTCCCTGACAAGAGTGTATGGATAGATGCCTTACAGTCCCCTGTCAACATTTCATATCAGAATGTTTTGTGGATTGGTGTAAGTATTTTGTGTTAGATTTCGAGTGGTTAGTGATTAAAAAATGCAGTACAAGTCCATCACAAATCTGGCATCATTGGGACCTGTAGTGTGCCTGATTACTGAGTTTGCCAGATTACAGAGTGATTAGGTTAGAATACACTTAATAAAATTAACCAACTTGACTTGCACAAAATTCATTGAACATTGGCAAAAATCGAACATTTCCACTACTTCGAGCTCAGTTTCAAGGTACTTTTTGTCATGAAACCAATCAAAATCATATCTATTTCTGTAATATATCTTCCATTCTATCAAATGAGACAAAAAACAAGAAAAAAAAAAAAAGAATACAACCAGGAAAACCATATGAAAATATACCGCTATGGGGCCGCTAATGGCCGAGAAGTGAACTCCGCTATTTATGGTCTGATTTCTTTCATTTCTGGTGTATGTTAAGAAGCATCTTTCCATCATACATTGCCCAAGTTTCAATAAGATAACCCAACAAACAACTGAGAGAAAAAAAAAATAATAATACACCTACCATGCGACTTACGACCTGCTCGACTTACGACCACTCGACTTACGACCGTGTTTTTTTTTTTTTTTTTTTTTTTTTTTTCAAAATTTCTGGAAAATAAACAACTATTTGTGTTGTACACAGTGTTTATCCTAAACCTTACAGTATAAAATACAGTACTAACAGCATAAAAAATAAAGTAAAACATGAAATACCTAAATAAAGCAATAAAATAGTCATTACAAAAATGTGATGTTGATATTCAGTAGTAAAGTTCGACTTACGTCCATTTCGATTTACGACCGGTTTCTCGGAACCAAACTCGGTCGTAAGTCGGATGGTAGGTGTATCTTTATTTACTACATGTACATGGTATACAGGCCTAGCTGACATCAGTGACATATTACTATATAGAAAGCCGCTTGTTATGCTGAGCATTTCAGGCAAATTTGGCCATTGTCCCAGGATAAACCCACACCAGTCCACTAACACCCAGGTACCCATTTACTGATAGGTGAACATGGACAACAGGTGTAAAGAAATGCTCCCAATGTTTCTACCCTGGCTGGGAATTGAATATTTACCAAAAATCATATATGGCTAGCCCAAGCCAGGTACTAGAAATACAGTAAGCCATTTTGTCTGACTTTTTTGGGTTATCCTAGGTTCTCTACACATATGCAGCTGTGTGAGATAATCTATGTAGAGAAAATAGCTTTTTTGTTTGTTTTATGGTGCAGTACGATTGTATATCACAGTTAGCCATGTGCTACACTCTGTTTTCTCTAATATAAGCCCCAAAACAGGGATTGGAGAATGGTACTTGTATCCCATGTCCTCTTCATACCTCCGTCAAACTGCTCGGTATTATGCCAAATATTATTCATTCTGGAGTATTTAACATGTTTTTATGTTATTTATATTGTTTATTATGTCATTAGATCAATTGTGATGGGCAAATAAGCTGTAGTGTTGATATTAGTGTAATAATAAAGCATATTCCCCTGCATCACGAGACTGAGCTCATAGCAACTGACAGTGACTTCAAAGCCAATGTATTGTGTAGGTGCTTTACACAAAGAAGCATTTCTTTTATTCATTGGAACCATGGCTAGGGCTAAAAGGAAGCAAGTTATAACAATAAATGGAGAAAAAGAAATTGGAATGACTTGTGCAGCAAGTAGCCTCACCAAACAGTACCAGCAGGTAGGTGTGGTGACCCTGGAAATTTGAAATTATGCTAGCCAAAATTAGTGCCAAATAACTGATTGCCGGATTTATGATGGCGGACTTGTAGTACTTTGTGTGGTAAATGACTTAATTCATTGACATCCTTGTGTATGGCCTGGTGGGTCATCCAGACGATCAATGAATTATAAGTTTGACTGGGTATGGGTATTTGTTTCTCCTTCAACAGGACTTGCCACTCAGAGACATTTTTCAGTAGATTGAGGATTGAATATGCACACCTCGCCTATAGTGATGTTGCAGCTGACCATGGAGCACATTTTAACTGCCTATAGTTTCATCCTTTTGTTTTAAATTTATTTGCCAGACAAATATAAAATGTGATTCATAAAATCAATATACAAAATTATTTGCAGGGTAGCATCCAGTAAAAATGTTAAATAATCATAATCAGTAAATTTTAAGTACTGCAAATTTGTAGAAAGAATTGTATGAAATAATAGATCAATGGAAATAAAAGATGGATTAGTGTGAAAGTGGATTTGAAACTCTCACTATCTAATATTCCCAGAAAAATCAGTAGAAGAATGAAACCCATCTTTGGTGAATAATGGTCTCACAGGATGACTAATAGTAAGATAATCAAGGCATTTATGTAAGTGGTAGACACTATACCATACTATCTTGATGCATAGAGCATTAAATTTTAAGGGTTTGCAATTATATACATGGATTATAGTAAGCACAGGCATTACCCTTAATTTTTTTTTTTTTTTTTTTTTTTTAAAGAAAAGTAGGATTGGCAGAAATGCCAATGGACACTGGTATGTCAGAAATTAGAACTGAAGCTAGATGAGTCTACTCCGAATTTTGGAGTACTTGAAAAATTCATTTGTTGGTAAAAGAATTTAGGTCACTATTATTACTGTACTTCACCAGTAACATCAGTCCATCCTTGTTCTGGTTTTAGCATCCCTGTATGTCGGAAGCTGGGGATCACATCAAAGTTGTTAGCATAGATCAACATGTAGTGGGAGGAGATAGAAAAAAATCTACATTTTTGTAGTGCTTGTTTGCAAGTAAAGGATGTGCGTTGATGATCACTGTTGGAAGCAATCCAGTATATAATGTAGGCAGAGGTAAGGACTGGACCAGGTAGCTGAGACTGCATTCCAAGTCTCAGTACTACATTACATAATTACAATCAGAAGTTACTGAGCCATTCTATTCTTACCTTCAGCAATACCCTTTATATTATTTTAACCTTTTGTATGGCTGACAACTGTGACACTAATGTGTAGCATAGCAGTTCTAGTTTTCTGTTTATTTTCTTACTAAGAGACATTTTCTTCCTCTAGCCTGTGAAGAAAGAGATAAGGCAGGCCAACCTTGTGCTCATATGTGAAATATATGGCAATCTACCACTCTTGATTGATTGGTATAAAGATCAGCATCACATATATACCTTCAAAGTCACCTCAGGGTAAGTACGTATGTGTATAAACAGCTTTTTGTTCCATGCTCTAAGGTTTCAGATCCTTTCCTATTTTTTTTTTCCAACACATTGGCCATCTCCCACCAAGGCAGGGTGACACACAATCACTGTCTTTGCAGAGATGCTCAGATATGACAGTTCAGATGTCACTCCAAACAGCAAATATCCCAAACCCCTCCTTTAAAGTGCAGGCATTGTATGTACTTCCCACCTCCAGGACTCAAGACTACCTATTACAGTAATTTTTGGGGGCAAACATTCACCAATTCTTAATTGATCTTGTCCTCTTGAGAGGTTCTTTCATGCTGGTGAGTGGCTCTGATCCAGTGAATTAAGTGGATCCCTCCCTTCCTTGGATCATACCTGAATGCCATCCATTGCTACATGACCCCTAGGGATTTAGTGTTTCATCCTGGCTAAAAAAAAAAAAAAAAAAACTTAAGGTGACTAAAAATCATTAATAACATAAAAAGGCACAATACCGTGACTGGAACAACATGCAAATAACCTGCACATAGAAGAGAGGAGCTTACGACGACGTTTCAGTCTGACTTGGACCATTTACAAAGTCACACTGACTTTGTAAATGGTCCAAGTCGGACCGAAATGTCGTCGTAAGCTCCTCTTTTCTGTGTGTGAGTTGTTTGTATAAAAATCATTATCATAGGTGTATGCTATAAATTCTCATGTAAGAAAATACTTAGCTTATTCTATGATTAAGTTGCTCTTAATTAGGTTGGTATATCAGTGGAGATGTCCTGTCTAAGGGCAATGTGTGGTGTAAATATTAAGCAGAAAATTCGGAGTGTGGAAATTAGGAGAAGGTGTGGAGTTAATAAAAGTATTAGTCAGAGGGCTGAAGAGGGGTTGTTGAGGTAGTTTGGTCATTTAGAGAGAATGGATCAAAGTAGAATGACATGGAGAGCGTATAAATCTGTAGGGGAAGGAAGGCGGGGTAGGGGTCGTCCTCGAAAAGGTTGGAAGGAAGGGGTAAGGAAGGTTTTGTGGGCGAGGGGCTTGGGCTTCCAGCAAGCATGCATGAGCATGTTCGATAGGAGTGAATGGAGACGAATGGTATTTGGAACCTGACGATCTGTAGGAGTGTGAGCAGGGTAATATTTAGTGAAGGGATTCAGGGAAACCGGTTGTTTTTGTATAACCGGACTTGAGTCCTGGAAATGGGAAGTACAATGCCTGCACTCTAAAGGAGGGGTTCAGGATATTAGCAGTTTGGAGGGATATGTTGTGTATCTTTATACATATATGCTTCTAAACTGTTGTGTTCTGAGCACCTCTGCAAAAACAGTGATTATGTGTGAGTGAGGTGAAAGTGTTGAATGATGATGAAAGTATTTTCTTTTTGGGGATTTTCTTTTCTTTTTGGGTCACCCTGCCTCGGTGGGAGACGGCCGACTTGTAAAAAAAAAAAAGTATTACTTCTATGAACATTTAACCCTTACACTGCTGTGATTCTAAAAAGTATCTTCTAAAATGATTGGTTCTATTTCTGAAGGTAAATGACACTAAAAATGCAAACTTTGATGGAAAAACTTAATGTCTGGGTGCAATTTACACACAGTGAGAGAATACATGAAAGCAGTATGGATAGCCTGTAGCTGAAAAAGATTAATTATAATTACTTCATGTAAAAAGATTGCTTTTAATCCCCAGCTTCAGCTCGGCTGTGAGGAATGGCATATACACTGTCAAGTACTACCAAAAACTGAGTATCAAGTACCACACTGTAGAACTCTGGGTGAAAGGTCACGACCCATGTGTGGACTGGGGAAGCTATACCTGTCAAGTTGCTAATAATGACCACCAGACTGTCAGCCGCACTGTTGTCTCAGAACTCACTCAGCCACTGCAAGTGGAAGTTTTACCATATGCTTCCAGAATTGAGAAGGTTAGGGCACAGCAGAGATTTTCTGTATAGATATTTCTGTGGACAGAATTCCTTAGTTTTTACTTCTTTTTTCTGAAGACAGTAATTTTTGAAAATCTCAAATGGATTTGGCTCTTTACTTGTGGCATAATATTGTTGTGTACATTGCCATTGTAGTTTTCAAATGTTTTGAATCAAATGATTTTTTACCTAAAATTTATATAGTCACTAAATTAACACAATGGAGCTGCACTGCAGCAAGCCTACTGGCTCATGCTATATGGGTTCTCACCTGTGAGCTACCTGAGGTACAGTATTAGCTTCAGTGATGCTACCTGGTAACTTGTTGCATGCATCAATCATTCTAGTGCCAGATTAGTACTTTCCTATATCTTTTTTAAATTTTAATTTTCCAACTTAACCAACTGTCCCTTTTTTTTCTGTAATTTTTTGTTACTTGTGCATAATTTGAGAATGCTCTGGGTTAATAGTTTTCAATGTAGTATGTACTACTTGCATATGGCTTTGAATCGTTAAGTTTTATGTATGTAATATCATTTACGTACCACCTTCATATCCTGTGTCAATTTTGAAAATTAAATATTTGTTTGGTAAATATGCTAAGAATATTGATTTAAAATTTAGTTAGCTTATAACTTGAGTTCATTTAACGTTTAATTTCATTAGGACTTTGAGATGGTTACTGTAACTTTTTGCATAGTATTTTTTTATATAAATATCATTTCTTGTCATTGCTTGAGTCAGATTGCTATAAATATAAAGTACAGTGGACCCTCGACCAGTGATGGCATCGATTAACGATAAATCTGACTAGCAATACATTCTATCGCAAAAATTTTGCCTCGATTAGCGCTAAAAAACTCGACCAACACTATTCGTTCCGTCTGAGACGCGTCCACTTCTGGCCAGTGTTTACAAGCTAGCCAGCCACCGCGGTCGCTTCCAAGCATACAATCGGAACATTTCATATTATCACAGCCTTTTTAGTGATTGCACCTGCAAAATAAGTCACCATGGGCCCCAAGAAAGCTTCTAGTGCCAACCCTACAGCAAAAAGGGTGAGAATTACTATGGATATGAAGAAAGAGATCATTGCTAAGTATGAAAGTGGAGTGCATGTCTCCGAGCTGGCCAGGCTGTACACAAAACCCCAATCAACCATCGCTACTATTGTGGCCAAGAAAACGGCAATCAAGGAAGCTGTTCTTGCCAAAGGTGCAACTATGTTTTCGAAACTGAGATCGCAAGTGATAGAAGATGTTGAGAGACTGTTATTGGTATGGATAAACGAAAAACAGATAGCAGGAGATAGCATCTCTCAAGCAATCATATGTGAAAAAGCTAGGAAGTTGCATAACGATTTAATTAGAAAAATGCCAGCAACTAGTGGTGATGTGAGTGAATTTAAGGCCAACAAAGGTTGGTTTGAGAGATTTAAGAATCGTAGTGGCATACATAGTGTGATAAGGCATGGTGAGGCTGCCAGTTTGGACCAAAAAGCAGCTGAAAAATATGTGCAGGAATTCAAGGAGTACATAGACAGTGAAGGACTGAAACCTGAACAAGTGTTTAATGGTGACACTGACAATGTTGTGAAACACTTTAGGAATGTCATAAAAGAACGGGAGGTACAGGCCTCTATGGGCAGATATGTTGTGCGACAGAGGTCCAGTGACTCTCAAGCTGGTCCTAGTGGCATTAAAAGAAGGGAAGTAACCCCGAAAAAGGACTTGCCACCTCAAGTCCTAATGGAAGGGGATTCCCCTTCTAAACACTAAGACCATCAACACACTCCCCTTTTCCCATCCCATCAATCATCACCAGATCTTCAATAAAGGTAAGTGTCATGTAACTGTGCATGTCTTCTTCAGTTTGTGTGTATTAAAATTTATATTTCATGTGTTAAAATTTTTTTTTTTTCAATACTTTTGGGTGTCTTGCACGGATTAATTTGATTTCCATTTTTTCTTATGGGGAAAATTAACTTGACTAACGATTATTCTGACTAACGATGAGCTCTCAGGAACGGATTAATAGCGTTAGTCGAGGGGTCCACTGTACTTGAACTTTAGAAATATATACATGTATATACTAGTATATGTATATACTAGTATAGGTTTCTGTAGCCTTTAGTGGCATATTAGGAAGCAAACTTTATCAAACTGGGGAAAAATATGTTTTGGGCCATTATTTATTGGACTGGTATTGTTTACTGTTTGAGTTAAGACTGCTGGATGCCCATGGGGGTTATCATCATTGTTTATGCTAACGATATGCAGGTCTACGTCCAGATGCAAAACTTTGCTTTAGTTCTTTTGCTGGGTATTCAAACTTTATAAATAAATAAAAAGTTGAAACTAAAGGAGGGTAAGAGATTTTGATTGTCAGGGAAAACCTCAGGGTAGTACAGATTGGAGTTTTTGATGTTCTTGATTGTAGTACTCAATATGGAGCCTGTATGATCTGAGGGATCTGGATGTGTACCTGAATTCTTCATTGTCATTTGTTGGAGATTAAAGTGACATTGAATGAGTAAATGGTTTTTGACTGCAGAATGGCAGTGCAAATCTGAATTGCATTGTCATGGCTGACTGGGACGGTGGCAGGCACTACAAATTCTCCTGGTTCATCACCGCACATGATCATGTGGGCCATTATTTTTATGAGAACACCAATTGGAATAGATCAGATATCTACATTTATGGTATAAAGGTAAATTTATTAGTAGCATTTTTCTCATATGGATTTTTTTTTTCCCAGCAGTTGTGGTTAACCCTTTCACTGTCTTGTACGTAGTTCTACATTATGGATGCCTGTGCAGTTCACATAGATCTGTTGTAAATACAGGAGGGCCCTGCTTTACAGCACTTTGATTCAAAGCGTTTTGCTAATGCAGCAGTTTTCAATAAATATACAGTGGAACCTCAGCTTACAAATGCCCCACCATGTGAATTTTTCAGGATATGAACAGTTACTTGGTCGATTTTTTGCTTCTGGATATGAATGAAATTTCAGGATGCAAAACTTCCCCCTCAAGAGAGGTTCCTTGGTGAGGGGCTCTTGATCTAGGGAATTGGATCTGTGCTCCAGGCAGTGGAGATGTCCTGTCTAAGGGCAATGTGTGGTTTAAATATTATGCAGAAAATTCAGTGTGTGGAAATTAGGAGGTGTGGAGTTAATAAAAGTATTAGTCAAAGGGCTGAAGAGGGGTTGTTGAGGTGGTTTGGGCATTTAGAGAGAATGGATCAAAGTAGAATGACACGGAAAACGTATAAATCTGTAGGGGAAGGAAGACGGGGTAGGGGTCGTCCTCAAAAAGGTTAGAAGGAAGGGGTAAAGGAGGTTTTGTGGGTGAGGGGCTTGGACTTCCAACAAGCGTGCGTGAGCATGTTCGATAGGAGTGAATGGAGACGAATGGTATTTGGGACCTGACGATCTGCTGGAGTGTGAGCAGGGTAATGTTTAGTGAAGGGATTCAGGGAACTGGTTATTTTTACATAGCCGGACTTGAGTCCTAGAAATGGGAAGTACAATGCCTGCACTCTAAAGGAGGGGTTCGGGATATTGGCAGTTAGGAGGGATATGTTGTGTATCTGTATACATATATGCTTCTAAGCTATTGTATTCTGGGCACCTCTGCAAAAACAGTGATTATGTGTGAGTGAGGTGAAAGTGTTGAATGACGATGAAAGCACATATTTTCTTTTTGGGGGATTTTCTTTCTTTTTGGGTCACCCTGCCTCGGTGGGAGATGGCAACTTGTTAAAAAAATATATATATATAATAATACATATGTACTACTACTAATAATACACTGCAGCAGCCCTGTTGGCCCATACTAGGTAGGTCCTTCACAATCTATCCCACTAACAGAATATTTACCCAACTCAATTTTTAATGCTACCCAAGCAATAAGCTTTGATAAGAACATAAGAAAGGAGGAACACTGCAGTAGGCCTGTTGGCCCATACTAGGCAGGTCCTTCACAAATCCAACCCACTAACAGAATAAACGCTACCCAAGCAATAAGCTTTGACAGTTCTGTTTACTCGCATGCAAGCCCCTCTCAAATACAACCCCTCTCACTCGTGTACGTGTACTTGTCCAACCTAAATTTGAAACTACCCAAGGTTTTTTTAGCTTCAATAACCCTACTAGGCAGATCTTTCCTTTCATCAACTACCCTGTTACCAAACTAGTACTTTCCTATATCCTTTTTCAATCTAAACTTATCTAATTTGAATCCATTATTGTGGGTTCTCTCTTGGAGGGATATCCTCAAAACCTTATTTATATCCTCTTTGTAAATACCCGTCTTCCACTTGTACACTTCGATCATGTCTCCCCTCATTCTTCGTTTTGCAAGCGAGTGTAGTTTAAGGGTTTTCAATCTCTCTTCATACGGAAGATTTTTATATTAAGATTTATGTATTAATTTAGTCATTCTACACTGAATGTTTTCTAACGAATTTATGTCCATTCTGTAATGTGGGGACCAGAACTGAGCTGCGTAATCTAGGCAAGGCCTTGCTAAAGATGGATAAAGCTGTAATATAACTGCTGGACTTCTGTTGCTTACACTTCTTGATATAAGTCCCAGTAATCTGTTTGCCTTATTACATATGCTTAGGCATTGCTGTCCTGGTTTAAGGTTGCTGCTTACCATAACCCCCAAATCCTTTTTGCAATCTGTATGGCTAAGTTCTACATTATTTAACTTATAAGTGCTAGGGTTATGGGCACTTCCCAGCTTCAGGACCTTGCATTTATCTACATTGAACTGCATCTGCCACTTTTCTAACCAGGTACTGAGTTTATCTAAATCCTCCTGAAGTTCCATGATATTTACGTTTGAATCGGTTATCCTACCTATCTTTGTGTCATTGGCGAATTTGCTCATTTCACTAATAATTCCCTCATCAAGGTCATTAATATATATTATAAACAACAGTGGGCCTAAGACTGATTCCTGTGGAATGCCATTGTTACAGAACCCCACTCGGATTTAACCCCATTTATGCACACTGCTTCCTGTCCATTAGCCATGACTCCATCCAGGTTAACACTTTTTCCCCAGTGCCATGAGCTGCCACTTTCTTTAACAGTCTTTGGAGTGGTATTCTATCAAAAGCTTTACTAAAATCCAAATAAACAATATCGAATTCTTTATCGTCATCAACAGCCTCAAAAGCTTTACTGTAGAAAGTTAGTAAATTAGTTAGGTAGGAACGTTCCCTCGTGAATCCATGCTGAGTGTCATTAATCAAATTATGCTTATCAAGATGGCATCTTATAATATCAGCTATAATTGACTAGTAATTTGCCTACAATTGAGGTCAGGCTTATTGGGCGGTAATTTGAAGGCAACGACTTGTCCCCTGCTTTAAAAATAGGAATTACATTAGCCATCTTCCACATATCAGACACTACACCTGTTTGAACAGATAAATTAAAAATATTAGTGAATGGTTCACAGAGTTCCATTTTGCATTCCTTAAGAACCTTTGAAAAAAGCTCATCAGGACCCGGAGATTTATTTTTTCAGTCAGTCTATTTGTTTCATGACCATTTTCCAAATGTGTGATATTACATAATTTATCTTCAGGCCCACTATAAAAATTAATTACTGGGATGTTGTTAATGTCTTCCTGTGTGAAAACTGAGAAAATAATTATTAAAAATCGAGCACATTTCAATCTCCTTGTCAGTAAGATGCCCAGAGTTATTTTTAAGGGGACCAATCTTTTCTATAACTTTGTTCTATAAACTTGGAAAAAACCTTTTGGATTAGTTTTCAAATCCCTAGCAACTCTAATCTGATAGTCCCGTTCAGCTTTTCTTATCCCCTTTTTAACGTCCCTCTTAATGTCGACATATTGATTCGTAAGATGACCCTTGCCACTTTTGATGCACCTATAAATTCCTTTCTTTTGCCCTAAGATATTTGAGCCTATTATTCATCCATTTAGGGTCATTTCTATTCGATCTAATTTCTTTATACAGGATAAACGTTCTTTGGGCAGCATGAATAGTGTTTAAAAACTCTCATATTGATAGCTCTCTTCGTTACCCCAGTCAACAGATAAGTGTTCTCTAAGCCCATTGTCATCTGCTAAGCGAAAATCTGGGACTGTTACTGAGTTATCCCTACTATCGTACTTCCATTCAATGCTAAAGGTAATTGATTTGTGGTCGCTTGCACCAAGTTCCTCTGAAATTTCTAAATTATTAACAAGGGATTCCTTGTTTGCCAGAACCAAGTCAAGCGGGTTATTTCCCCTTGTAGGTTCTGTCACAAACTGCTTCAAAAAACAATCCTGAACTACTTCTAAAAAGTCGTTAGATTCTAAATTCCCAGTCAAAAAAAATTCTAATCAATCTGACTAAAGTTAGTCCCCTAGAATTACAACGTTATCGTGCCTTGTGGCCCTAACAGTTTCCTCCCACAGTATCTTCCTTGGTCTCTATCCAGGTTTGGGGGATGGTATATATAACGCATAAAATAAATTTTTCGTGCCCCTCTGAAAATTCTACCCAGACTCAATATGTGTTTCAGACTTTATACCGATTTTTATGCAACAATTTAAACGATCACAGACATAGTGCCACCCCACCCTCCTTCTCAATACTTCTGTCTACTTGGAACAATTTAAAACCCTGAATGTGACATTCAGCAGGCATGTCCCTATTTTTCATATTAAACCACACCTCGATTATGGCAAAAACATCAATGTTACTTGCACTTGCAACTAATCTCAATTCGTCCATCTTATTTCTCGTACCGACTATTAGTATAATATATTTTCAGAAACCCTCCTTTCTCTTTTCTCTTCCTGCTGATTTCTGTTCCTCCACTATGCCTGTTACTCTTCTTGTCACCTAATGCCACTGGCTTTCCTATATTCACCAATAACTCTACCTCATTCTGCCTATAACTGGTTTCCTTAACCCTTTTAGCCTTGAATTATGAAAGGAATATTGGTTTGTTCTCATTTGTTGATATGTGAGAGGCAGAGAGCTGCCAAAGTTACCAGATTCACAATCAAGTAGGTTTTTAGAAGGTAGTGAAGGTCCCTCCAGTTTTCTTTGGCTTCCAACTGTTACCAGTACATTGCCATGGTTATAGAAATAAGCTGGGAACCTGAAATTCTGTCAGAGCTAAAAGGGTTAAAACTCATGCTATCGCTACACTCAGAATACATTGATTTGCCATAAAAACCCATACCTCTATCTATTTCTAGTTTAAAGACCTTACAGCTCCCTCCACTGTGTTGGCCAGTGCTCCCACCCCAAACCTAGATAAGTGAACCCCATCCCTGGCATACATGTCATTTCTGCCATAGAAGAGGTCCCAGTTATCTATGAATGTTACTGCATTTTCCTTAGTGTTTGTCCAGCCAGCAATTGATGCTAATGTGCAAGTCCCACTCGCATCCAACCTCTCACTCATGTATTTATCCAACACAAATTTGAAACTACCCAAGGTTTTAGCCTCAACCATACTAGGAATACTGTTCCACTCATCAACAAAAGAACATAAGAAAGGAGGAACATTGCAGCAACTCTGTTGGCCCATATCTGGCAGGTTCTTCACATATCCAACCCACTAGCAGAATAAACGCTACCCAAGCAATAAGCTTTAATAATTCTATTTACTCGCGTGCAAGTCCCACTCAAATTCAACCCCTCTCACTCATGTACAGATTTATCCAACCTAAATTTGAAACTACCCAAGGTTTTAGCTTTGATAGGACCTTGGGTAGGTTTAAAAAGAGATTAGACAAATATATAAGTGGAAGGGGGCTGGATATGATTGGTGTCGTGGGCACACAAGAACATAAGAATGGAGGAACACTGCAGAAGGCCTACTGGCCCATGCAAGGCAGTAAGGAGAAAGGAGGAATACTGCAGTAGGCCTGTTGGCCCATACTAGGCTGGTCCTTCACAAATCCAACCTACTAGCAGAATAAATGTATTCAAGCAGTAAGCGTTGACAATTCTATTTACTCATCTTGACGGTGTGCTAATGGAGTTACAGGAAGCTGACATCGAAGAAATGCTGAACATTGACAATGATGCACCTGTTGTGCATTCCTCAAGTGATGGTGAAATTAGATGAATTGATAGATAAATAAGCAGTAGAGTTGATGTTAGCGTCATTTTGAAGTACGTATTTTGTCGTGCAGGAATTCCCAAGGAATGGATTAATGCCATTTCAGTTAATTTAAATGAGGAAAATTGACTCTGCATATGAACAAATTGAGATACGAACAAGGCCATGGAACGGATTAAATTCGTACGCCGTGGTTCCACTGTGTTCACCACTCGTTATAAGCCAAGGACAAAAATATTTTAAGTGAAGTAATTTGTGTACTATTTATGCCTTTCTTAGACCTAGCTCTATTTCTCACTTAATATATAATAGTGTAAACACGAGATTTTTATATGCATTTGAAAGTGAAAAAGGCTATGTTTCACTTTACGTACCATGATTTTCGCTTTACAGCAGTAGCCCGGAACCTAACCTGCTGTATAAGCAGGGTTCTCCTGTACACTGCCCTCAAATATGCTGCAAACAGTAAATTTTAGCCTAGACAAGAGATTGGGTTTGTGGTTAGTGTGCACAGAATAAAAAAAAACAAAAATCCTACCCTATGGTGTACAGTGGGAAAAACAAACCTCTGACCTTGTGTTTAGTTGAAAATAGCAAATCAGAAATGTTTTCTAGGGTGGTTTTTATGGTTTTATTGCCTGTTTCTGGGTACCAGTTGATGGAATGAAAGATAACTATATTAAATTTTGGTAGAATGACCGACAATATAAGTAAAAGAACACAAATGCAACTAATGTGACATTTTATTGTGGCAACGTTTCGCCCTCCAGGAGCTTTGTCAAGCGACTTGACAAAGCTCCTGGAGAGTGAAACGTTGCCATAATAAAAAGTTACATTAGTTGCATTTGTGTCCTTTTACTTAACAAAGATAGACTAATGAAATAATGATTTTGGTTGGCTTCAGAACTGGAAATAATTTGAAATGATTCAGAACAGCAGAAATATTTGATTTTTGGTAATTTTCCTAGTCTGTTTTATGGGTTTTTATTATCTGAGAAATAGGGTAAAACTTAGATTTTTTGTAATGACAGATTCAAAATGGAGGGCAAGTGTTACAAAGAGGCCTGGGGATGTGATTAATGAGCAGAGGATAAATTGCTTTAGTGGCTGGAATGCCTGAAATGTTTATTTTAGATGGTTTTTAAATTGGAATTTCTTGAATTTTGTGTAAAATTGGTCAAGTTACAACTTCCGTGCACTATTGCATTGCTCTGATAATTGAATGGGCAGAGGCACACTAGAGAAATTGCTCAGAATTGGCTTAAAATAGGACTCAAAGCAGGCAAAATAACTGATGCGTAAATTGTGCCCAGACAGTTAACTTTGCATTTGTGTAATTTCATAATTTTCCGTCAAGTTTTGCACTTTTGGTGTCCTAAACTTCAGAAAAAATTCCTCTACCATTTCAGAAGTATTTTTTTTTTATTGTGACACTGTCAGCACCTTTAATTTGAGGTGTCACGACAGTGAAAGGGTTAATGTTCTATTGTGTTCATATACATGAAGCAATGTGCCAAGATATAGCAAACTCTCACCCTTAAGTTTTGATTAATCTACATTAGATTTGCTCTAAAGATTTTCAATAGCAACCCCCTTGAAAGTACCATAAGGTTTTGAACAGTAGCCTCCCCTCCCCAAGAGTACAGTATAAAGGTTTTGAACAGTAAGTTCCTTGAGAATAAAGAAGTTAGATTGCAACTCTCTCTTCTGTACCTCTGAAAAAGTTAATATCAATGCCATTTTAAACCAGTTTATATTAGTGTATTACTGTATATGTTAGAACCTTAAGTAAGATTTTTTTCCCCCAATGTTGAATGGAATTTTTAAATTAATCTAAGCAAGAATTGCACTTAACTTTAAAGTGGTTTTGGATCAAGGGCAGACAGCCACAGGCTTCTTGTATGCAGAAAGCTACTAGACACAGTAGAGATTTAAGGGCTTAAAACTGACAAAGTAATATTTGAAATACACTGTACTTACAAACAATATTGTATTAGTTACATTAATAAATGAGCTTCCATATTTTTATTATGTTGTTACAGGACAATTTTTGCACTGTCAAAAATTTATCTATTTAGGAATCGGTGAATGTGACGTGTTTAGTGACAGTAAAAGAAAACTTGTGCAGTCCAACCATTATCGAACAACGTTGGCAAACTGTTTTGGTGGATGTTCTTAACCAGCAAGTCCCATATTGCCAGTCTACCACATCTTATTTGACAGTCTGGCAAGCCACACCTGTAAGTGATAGTTGTAAGTAGTACAGTAATACACTTGTAAATCTAGATGTCTGCAGTAAAATTACATTCCTTACAATAGTCTAAAAAATTATATAATGTATTAAGCATTGAGGTAGATATACAAAAAGGCACAAATGTTGCATCATGTTGTGAGATTGATTTGATTAGTAAAAATAAAGAGAATTGAAATGAATTACATATTTTGTAAGTAAAAAAAACTTAATATGCTTACCAACATTTAAAAAAAGTAAGATTAAGTAAAAATATTTTGTCAGGCAGGACAAAGTGATGAAACAATATGTCCTGAAGGGTTCCAGGGTAAGGCCAAACAGAAGTGTCAACGTTTGTCAAACCAGAATCCCATGTGGAGCACTCCAGATTTTTCAAATTGTATATACCTTCCACTGCTTGATATATTACAGGTAAGGAGGCATTCGCTCCAGTCTGGGAAATGTTTGATTGTTGTCTTTTTCATCTCAGTGTTGCATCTTATTTTACCTGTGGTATATGTGCATGGGGATGTACAAGCCAATCCCCTAAAACCAGTAATAACCCAACAGAAATTTGCCATTACAGCAATCACTCAGATTCCAGACAGCAATACCATTTCCTCACTCTCCAAAGACCTGAACCCACTGAGCATACAAAGTATCGATACTTACTACTATGCATATCACACGTATAGAGCAATAAGTACAATTCCTGAAAAGCTACAACAAATCACATAGGCATAACATGAAAAACAAATACATCTGATATTTCATACATGATTCAACCTTAGTAAATGCTTCATGTAAATCAAAGACCTAAAATTTGGAACAACCTACCTGATGGAACAAAAACCTCTCTTCTGGTAGCTTAAAACATCAAAAAAAATTTGAACTTGATATAATAAATATGTAGTAGTCAGACATTTACTAGCTTTTTCATTTGTTTCCTCCATATTGTAATCTAGACCCCTTTATTTTGCACAGAAATTGTTCATGCTGAATTATCCCTTAATAGTACATGTAAGAGTAAATTCATATGTTGATTTCACTTGTGGTATTCCAGAATCCAGAACTTATTCTTCAAAATAGAGGATATACAATACCTTTACAAAATGTCACAGGACTGACTGAACAGCTTTTGCATCTGATAAAAAACCGGGATGCAATGTTCTTGCCTGGAGAGCATTTGGAATTTTTGAGAGCACTTAACCAGCTGTTCAACCCAGTGAACATGCCTATCAGTCTTGATGTATTTCTGCCTGCCGTACAACAGATTATCATGAAGATGTGCACACCCACTATAGCTGTGAGTAAATTCATGTTTTATATTTCCCATGACTATTTAAAAAATCCACTTTTCGCTTTTGTCCACGAGAGCTAAGTAGTAAAAAAGAATTTTCACTTTTAATTTACATTCCTTCTATGTAATTTTAGAAGGTAAATAATCCATTGTAATCTAATCCACTTTATAATGTACAGAAAATGTTTATTCTGAATGTCAGATGCCACCTAAATTTATGTGTTAGCATTGTACTGGTATTCAGTTGTTCATAAATGCTAATTTTAGTCTGCCTAATGAGTACCAATACTTTGTAAGTGCTAGTTGTAGTCTGCTTGAAATGTTTTACATAATGAGGGTTTTTTTTTTAAAATATTGAAAGTTTCTTCTCAGAACTGTATTTAGGGAGGCACTAAAACCCACAGGGGTTGTACTGTGCCTGGGGAAATGGGAAGCAAAAAGGTTCAGTCCAAGAATGGGGAAGTCAGGTACAAGTCATTTCATCAGTAGCCTCTCATTGGTATGGAGGAGCTTCTCTTGAGGAGTCAGAACTGTATTAAATTTATACACATGCTAACTGTTTACCCATTTATAGTAATATTTATGTATATACTTAAAGAAATAGATTGTTTTCCAGGTTCAACTGGACCTGGATTGGAAATTAATGTTATCTGCAAATAAAACTAATTTGAGATGCATGTGGTAGGTCATTAATGTTAAAAGAAACAGAGATTCTGCCCTTGCAGTATCCCTATATTCATTTAATCATGTGATTATCATTGAGGTAGTCCATTGCTTAAGAGTAGGATGTTGTGGTCTACTGTATCAAAATTTTTTCTAAGTCACCGAAGAGGTCTATCTGATATTCATTGTTTTTTTTTATTGTGTAGAATGAATCGAGCATTATTTGTACTTTTATTTGGCCTGAAACCAAACTGACAGGGGTTAAGAATATTGTGTTTCATTATGAATTGATATTTTAGTGATGAACTTCTTGATCAACCTGTCTCTAGTCTTCTCCTTTGCTACAGTATTCAATAACCATGTTATAGTTTGAAGGAAGTATAAATTAATAAATAATTTCCATCTAAAATTTGTAAAATTAAAGTGTTGATTAAATCTAATTAAAGTTAAGAAATTCTTTAATATCTTTTAGTTGATTGTTAATATTAGTGTTTTAAAATACTACAGTTACACTTTTCAGGATGTGTGGAAATTGCTTAACTTGATTAAAACGAATATAATTAGCTTTCTTAAGCAACATCCACCAGTGACAATATATCATGAGGGAGATATTATGGCAAAGCTGGCAACACTGCAGCTTGAGAGCAACACCAGCTTCTCGATCAACTCCCGTTCTCATGACCAGTATGTTGCAAGGTAATTGAATAATCTGTTAGGTTGCAGTACTATAAGACCCAGATGGGTTTAGCCCTTCTTGTCTGAATATAACAATCTACAGTATTTGGTATTGTCTGGGCATCTTTAAGATTTCACATACAGAAAAGAAATCCAAAAAATATTTTTTGCTTTTTATTTCTTGGGTAACATTTTATAACAAAAAGAAATAGGCAATTCATATTTATTATATAGTAATTAGAGTATTTAATTACTGTACCTAAACTAAAATTTTAATTCTTTATTCAATTTCTATGCTTCAACAATAAATATTCTGTGTAATTTTACTGCAGTTTTTTAATAAATTCAGTACTGTAGTTTACAAAAGGTAGTAAATGCTACAACTGAAAATACAGTAGATCCCTGTATCCATGGGGAATATGTTCCGAGACCTACATGGATACCCAAAACTGCGGATAGTAGCAGACCCTATATACCAGTCTCTTTGCTTACATATGTACCTATGATATTTTAATTTATTAATTATGCACAAGAAGTCTAGAATTAGCGCTTTTTCTCTGGGAAGCATTTCACGGCTTCTCTTAGGCTATGAAGAACTGCCACCATCACTACTTTTGTGCTTTGGCGACATTATTAAACGAAAGGGTTATTTTCGGGCCACAGTAAACCATGGATAATTCAAGCACGGAAACCGAATCTGCAGAGTATGGGGGTTCTACTATAAACCAAATAATTGGATGCCATGAGCATAGTTCTGCTTCTATTGGTACACAGGGAATTAAAAATAAGTAATCACACAGGCTTTGAAGTGTTCCTCAAGATGACATCTCATGCTGCACATAGTGCTACCTGGAGGGAGTTTCATGGGTCATTGCCCCTGCAGCCTGGTCCATGACCAGGCTTGCTTTTTTAATCTGGTCCATATGCTGACACACATGTAATTCAGAGTTGACCCTAATGTAAAAGATTCATTATGCTGCTCCTAGATAAATATAAACTTTATTCAGCTTGCTGTCAATAATAATAGTTTCTACTATCCCCTCTTTTGTTACACCATTTAGATCCTCCTCTACACTGACAGGATCCACATGCCAGTGTTCATGACAGGATAATTTAAATTGACTTTGCACTTAATGAAAAGTTGCAAAATAGACCAAATATTGTTGCTTAATTGATGTATTAGCAGATTAGAAAATTCAAGCTGAGATAACTCTCAGGGAAGGAAACTTTCAAGAATGCATCAAGAAGTTAGATGTTGAAGGTTTTGTATGAGTGTAAAGCATACTTTATTTTACATCTATTGCGAGGAGGTTGAAAGGAGTTAAAATATCGTACTGATGAGTATGTTGTGTAAATATTTAGTGAATGAGTGAAAAGAATTAAAGTAGTAATGATGTGAAAGGCATAATTGCAAGCAGAGGTTGTTAGTTTTGTTTTGCATTAAGAATGAGGCAAGATAGGTTCAAAAAGTATACAAATCTGTGATGGACATAAGGAAGTGTGTGAAGGGGGTCTGAAGAAGGAATGGGAGGAGGTTGCAATAGATTGAAAGGTAGGGGGCTTAAGGATCCAGAAATAATAGTAGGTTGGTAGACAGCAACCACCCAGGGAAGTACGTACTACCGTCCTGCCAGATGACTGCGAAACAAACCTGTAACTGTTTTGCATGATGGTAGGATTGCTGGTTTCTTTTTCTGTCTCATAAACACGCTAGATAACAGGGATATCTTGCTACTCCTACTTACACTTTGGTCACACTTCACAGACACGCACATGCATATATATATACATACATCTAGGTTTTTCTCCTTTTTCTAAATAGCTCTTGTTCTTCTTTATTTCTTCTATTGTCCATGGGGAAGTGGAAAAGAATCTTTCCTCCGTAAGCCATGCGTGTCGTATGAGGCGACTAGAATGCCGGGAGCAATGGGCTAGTAACCCCTTCTCCTGTAGACATTTACTAAAAAAGAGAAGAAGAAAAACTTTATAAAACTGGGATGCTTGAATGTGCGTGGATGTAGTGCGGATGACAAGAAACAGATGATTGCTGATGTTATGAATGAAAAGAAGTTGGATGTCCTGGCCCTAAGCGAAACAAAGCTGAAGGGGGTAGGGGAGTTTCAGTGGGGGGAAATAAATGGGATTAAATCTGGAGTATCTGAGAGAGTTAGAGCAAAGGAAGGGGTAGCAGTAATGTTGAAGGATCAGTTATGGAAGGAGAAAAGAGAATATGAATGTGTAAATTCAAGAATTATGTGGATTAAAGTAAAGGTTGGATGCGAAAAGTGGGTCATAATAAGAGTGTATACACCTGGAGAAGAGAGGAATGTAGAGGAGAGAGAGAGAGAGAGAGAGAGAGATTTTGGGAGATGTTAAGTGAATGTATAGGAGCCTTTGAACCAAGTGAGAGAGTAATTGTGGTAGGGGATCTGAATGCTAAAGTAGGAGAAACTTTTAGAGAGGGTGTGGTAGGTAAGTTTGGGGTGCCAGGTGTAAATGAAAATGGGAGCCCTTTGGTTGAACTTTGTATAGAAAGGGGTTTAGTTATAGGTAATACATATTTTAAGAAAAAGAGGATAAATAAGTATACAAGAAATGATGTAGGGCGAAATGACAGTAGTTTGTTGGATTATGTATTGGTAGATAAAAGACTGTTGAGTAGACTTCAGGATGTACATGTTTATAGAGGGGCCACAGATATATCGGATCACTTTCTAGTTGTAGCTACACTGAGAGTAAAAGGTAGATGGGATACAAGGAGAATAGAAGCATCAGGGAAGAGAGAGGTGAAGGTTTATAAACTAAAAGAGGAGGCAGTTAGGGTAAGATATAAACAGCTATTGGAGGATAGATGGGCTAATGAGAGCATAGGCAATGGGATCGAAGAGGTATGGGGTAGGTTTAAAAATGTAGTGTTGGAGTGTTCAGCAGAAGTTTGTGGTTACAGGAAGGTGGGTGCGGGAGGGAAGAGGAGCGATTGGTGGAATGATGATGTAAAGAGAGTAGTAAGGGAGAAAAAGTTAGCATATGAGAAGTTTTTACAAAGTAGAAGTGATGCAAGGAGGGGAGAGTATATGGAGAAAAAGAGAGAGGTTAAGAGAGTGGTGAAGCAATGTAAAAAGAGAGCAAATGAGAGAGTGGGTGAGATGTTATCAACAAATTTTGTTGAAAATAAGAAAAAGTTTTGGAGTGAGATTAACAAGTTAAGGAACCCTAGAGAAAAAATGAATTTGTCAGTTAAAAATAGGAGAGGAGAGTTATTAAATGGAGAGTTAGAGGTATTGGGAAGATGGAGGGAATATTTCGAGGAATTGTTAAACGTTGATGAAGATAGGGAAGCTGTGATTTCATGTATAGGACAAGGAGGAATAATATCTTGTAGGTGTGAGTAGGAGCCAGTTGTGAGTGTGGGGGAAGTTCGTGAGGCAGTAGGTAAAATGAAAGGGGGTAAGGCAGCCGGGATTGATGGGATAAAGATAGAAATGTTAAAAGCAGGTGGGGATGTAGTTTTGGAGTGGTTGGTGCAATTATTTAATAAATGTATGGAAGAAGGTAAGGTACCTAGGGATTGGCAGAGAGCATGCATAGTTCCTTTGTATAAAGGCAAAGGGGACAAAAGAGAGTGCAAAAATTATAGGGGAATAAGTCTGTTGAGTATACCTGGTAAAGTGTATGGTAGTTATTATTGAAAGAATTAAGAGTAACACGGAGAATAGGATAGCAGATGAACAAGGAGGCTTTAGGAAAGGTAGGGGGTGTGTGGACCAGGTGTTTCATGAAACAAAAAGGGAAAACAGATTTAGATAGGTAAAGGGGTCTTTGTGGCATTTATGGTTTTAAAAAAGGGTATGACGGGGTGGATAGGGGGGCAATGTGGAGATGTTAAAAGGTTATGGTGTAGGGGGTAGGTTACTAAAAAGCAGTGAAGAGTTTTTACGAGGATAATGGGCAAAAATTAGAGTATGTAGGAAAGGGAAATTATTTCCCAGTAAAAGTAGGCCCTTAGCAAGGATGTGTGATGTCACCGGGGGTTGTTTAATATATTTATAGTGGGGTTGAAAGAGAAGTAAAGCGAGGGTTTTGGGCAAAGGGTGGATTTAAAAAGATAACAATCACAATAAAGGGGGAGTTGTAAAAGTTGCTCTTTGTGATACACTGTGCTTTGGGAGTTTGAAGAGAAGTTGCAGAGATTGGGGGATAAATTTTGTGGGTATGCAAAAAAGAAAATTAAAAGTAAATACGGGAAAGAGAAAGGTTATGAGGTAAAAAAAAAGATTAGGTGATGAAAGATTGGATATCAGATTGGGGGAGAGGTTGGGGGGGTGAAGTATTCAGAAATTTTTGGGAGTGGACGTGTCAGCGGTGGGTCTATGAAAGATTTAGGTAAAACATAGAATTATGAGGGGAAAAAGGGGAGTGGTGCATTAGGAGTCTGTGGAGACAAAAAAACTTTGTCCTTGGAGGCAAAAAGGGGAATGTAGAGAGTATAGTTTTACCAACGCTCTTTATGGGTGTGAAGCTGGGTGTGAAAAGTTGCAGCGAGGAGAAGGCTGGAGGCAGTGGGAAGTCATGTCTGGGGGAATGTGTGGTGTGAATATAAGAGAGAAATTCGTGTTTGGAGTTAGGAGGAGGTGCGGGGGTTACCAAAACTGTTTTCCCGGGGCTAGGAAGGGGTTGTTTAGGTGGTTCGAATGTAGAGAGAATGGGCGGCAGAATGACTTCAAAAGGTATCAGTCTTAGTGGAAGGAAGGCGGGGGGGGAGGGGTCGGCCTAGGAAAAAGGGTTTGGGGGGGGGGTAAAGGAGGTTTTTGTGTGCGAGGGGCTTGGCTTCCGCAGGATGCTGACTGTTTGTAGGGTGAATGGAGACAATTTTTTAATTTGACGTGTGTTGGAGGGGTGAGCAAAGTAAAAATTTATGAAGGGGTTCAGGGAAACCCGGAGGGGACTTGGTCCCGGAGTGGGAAGTACATGCCCCGCACTCTGAAGGAGGGGTGTTAATGTTGCAGTTTAAAAACTGTAGTGTAAAGCACCCTTCTGGCAAGACAGTGATGGAGTGAATGATGGTGAAAGTTTTTCTTTTTCGGGCCACCCTGCCTTGGTGGGAATCGGCCAGTGTGATAATAATAATAAATAATACTAGAGCATGTTCAGTCGAAGTGGGAGAGAGAGAGTTCTCTGTGATATGGCATGCTATTGAAGTGTGAGCAACATTTATTATTTATTAAGGTGTGGGAAGTGGGCTGTCTGGACTTGTTTTGAAGGTTCCAAAGCACAATCCCTTCACTTCAAAAGTGAGATAGGTTTTGAGAGTTTCCAGAGAGAGCTAGAGCAAGTGATGGCAAGTTCTTCCTTTGGATCATTGTCCTGAGATGGATATGCCTAACAAATTATAAAAAAAGAATTTAAGGTAACATTCAATTAATGCGTGACATTTCTTTCCATTAGCTTGAAAGTGGAAGTTCCAACAATGGAAATGGATATGCAGGAGATAGGTGTGGGAGCAGTAATGTACCTCCATCCTAAGAAATTCTTGATGGGTGCTTCAATGCATGCAGGACAGAGGTATTTCTGTTATTGCCAGGTATAAAATTTTCAGCAGCTTGAATTATGCATTTTTCTTGATGGTTCATACTAAAGTTTTTAATAATAGTAAAAGTATAGCTTTTTCCCTCCCCCTCTCTTCCAGTGTGACAAACATTCCAAGCATCATTGTAAGTGCCCCCATTGTGGAAGTGATGGCTGTTAATTTGATGAATAGTACATCTTCCCTTAACCAAGCTCTCATATCACATCTCTCCTTCCTGGGCTACACAACGTACACAGAAGCCTTGGTAGACAAGTAAGATTTCCACTTCATGTTGCAGGGTTATTAAGAGTTTAGTTTTTACATTACCATCTGCTGTTGTGAAGTCATAACAGTTGTATCATCCACCATCTACTTAAGCAAATATGGAGGGTAGTGTAATAAATTTTTAAGAGCTGTCAAGTTTAAGCTTATAATCTAAACTCAGACTGGCATATATATAATGTTGAGTAAGAACTAGGGTAAAGTACTGTCAAAAGGAAGAAATGGTTGGCAGTATTTACTGTAGGCAAGAGATGTACAGTAGTTTCGATGAAGGGCAAAATTGTGTTTTCAGGACATCTTGATATATATTGACTTTTCATTTTGGAGCTTGATAATATTTTTTTTATTATCACACTGGCCGATTCCCACCAGGCAGGGTGGCCCGAGATAATATACATGGTAAAATGTGGTTTTTAAGGCTGATAACTAATGGTTAAAATACAAGAATAGGAATATTTCTGAAGATTGAGACACTTATGCAACATATGAGAATCTTTATTGAGGAAACGTTTTGCCACACAGTGGCTTCATCAGTCCAATACAAAGCAGAAAGGTGTAAGGAGAGGAGTTTGATGAGGTAATCAGTCCCTCAGCCAGGAGTCAGTGTGTTCAGTCCATCAATCTTGTAGAACGTACAGCATAGGGCCGTAGATATGGCTTATATACTGTAGTCAGGCGAGGCAAAGCAGCAGGAGGTGGGGTCATAGTGGTACCATCCACTAGTCGAAGTAGGTCTTCATCCAAAGATTGGACAAGTTTTGAAGAATTCTTTGTACCAAGATCCCATGATGCTGCAGTGTCTGACAGATGTGATAAATGGTTTAAAAAACCAACAAGTTGTTGGTTTTTTAACCATTTATCACATACAGGAATATTTCTGTATCCTGGAATAATGTAGGGTACAGACTATACTTGATGCATCTTCTATTATGCACAGCCTTGTTTGTAGTATATCTTGCAGATTGAATTGTGCATGTGGTCTAGTATTGTTGAATACTTCACTTTCATTTGAGATATGGACACAATTTTCTGGCACTCCTGGGCTTTTTATGGTTTGGTCAATGGGCAATTATTTTCCATAAATTAAGCAACCAAGTTTTCATTGTTCTTGTACAGGGTTCCTCTCAAGTTGCTGATGCCAAATTACAGGCAGTGGCTGACACATCCATCACTCAGCCATTCCATAGTGAATTTAAACTTGGGAATGGCCATCCTTGGATAATGTTCCTTGCACAATCCTTTTAGGAGTGTATGGGAGACTTCTTCTGCCCCAAATTCCTAGCTAGACACCCCAGAAAACATTAGAACTTGTTCAATAGCTGTATTGCCAAAGGTGCAAATATGTACTACCCCTTTATTTCCAGGGTCTTAAGAACCATCTTATGAATACTAAAGTGATAGTGTTTTTTTCTTTTCTCCTTGCTGGGAGATAGCCAGCATGTTAAAAAGTTTTTCTTATTGGTTTAGATCATGGGGTGGTTAATTTTGTATATGCACTTGCATTTGTATGAAAATTGGGTATTTTCATTGGTATATTTCAAATAGTATTGTAGTGCTGTATACACAAGTTTTATCTTTGTACTCTATAGTAAGATTTAATGGCTAAATTTAATTAATGGATTTTGCTTCTAGAAATACAAAAGATTATGCCTGGGCCTTGAAATGTGGTGCAGCTGAGCTGAAAAACAATATTGTTGTGTGGAATCTGAGCAGATGCACAGCACACTCCCAAGATGAGAGCAGAGATTCGTATACATGTCAGTGTCGAGGTCAGGCATTATTTGGTCTTGTCATGGTTCCATCAGAAATCACCAAGGTAAGGATAGATGACTGTTTTAAAAAGCTAACATTATTTGTATTGATTCATCAGCCTTATTTTACTCTTAATGTGTAATAAAGAAAGCAATGTGTTAATTTATCTTGCAAAAGTTTGGATTACTACAGGCTAAGGTTTGGCCCATAGTAACAAGTCTTGTAGAATAAAGATTACTTCTATTATCTTCACTTCTACATTATTTTGCTTGGCAGGGGCAGGAACTTTTGTAGTTTATAGAGGTTTAATATCAAGTTAAACATAACTTGTTTCAGCTTTAGCAGGTACACTGTTCCTAGATCTAAAACATGGAGAGGAAAAATATTTAATTTAAGCCCAGCATATAAAACAGAATAAGTAAAGCTCAAAGTTATTACACTTTACATCTTCAAAAGGCATTTATTTTTAAGCTTGTTGAACTTGAATGTCTAAGATCATGCCAATCATATTATTTCACTTTAACCTTACAACTTTCTGGTGCACTTTCAATCAAGTAAATGTTAGACACTAGTTTGTGAATAGATAATTGCATGGCTTTCTCTTAGTTCCTGCTGTGTGACAAAAAAAATTAAGGAATGAGGGGAATAAATGCTACATGGGAAAAAGTATACAATCTAAGGGGAAAATGCAAAATTAATTAATTAATTTTGGGATTGTATATGTTTAATGGTTAGTGTATTGTCAATGAATAGCAAAAACCCTTGTTTACTTCTTTTTTTTATCACTAAAATTTTCATAGCAACTGGACTTGTGTATTTAAACAGTAATGTTTCCAGAAAATATTTTTATTACAAATAATTTTTTTTAAAGTATTAAAAAGCTTAGAAATTATCATAATTAGAGCAGTTTGTATCAACAGCCCCAACTGCCTGACTCAGACTGGGGTTTGACAGTTGTGGCAGGAGTATGCTGTGTGTTGGCAGTGCTGCTGATACTGCAGTGCGTGTGGATCATGTTTCACTGTTCACGTGCAACTTCTGACCAGCACTGTTTGAACATGAAAAGGTCTGTTGACAGTTACTTGAAGAGGTTGAGGCACAGAGAAACCTGTAACACACACAGAGGGGTAAACATAGTGACTAACCAAGAGCAAGAGACACTGGAGTCCAATTCCAATGAAGAATATTACCTTAATCCAAGACATACAGGATCTCAATTTTGTAATAATTCACAGGCGACTAATACTATGTATAGTTTTCATAGGGGAAAATTTGTGCAGTCAAAGGCACATACTTCAAACAAATATGTTGGTATTCTCCAGAGGAGAAGTAATAGTCATTTCAGTCTGCCTTCTGGATCAAGGAATGGGATCCCAGCTGAAAATGAGAACAGATTCCTTGAGTCACACAAACCCTTCACTAAAATTTCCTATAATCAAGTACATGGCTTGCATCAGGAGCCAATTCCTTCCTGTAATGACACAGATGATGTTTATTTGGATATGTCTTCAAACTTAAAACATAAGGAAATAGTGGAAAGTGGAGGGAGTCTGGAGAAAGTGCACAAATATGTAAATGTACAAGTAAATGGTGTTCTAGTAAAACATGAACTTTTACAAAATGATGCTTCTCTTCAAGAGGAAATGCCCATCACAACAGAATACATTACTCCCGAGCTGATGAACCCAGCTCATGCTAAAAGCACCAGTGAACTTAATTCATACTTGCCAATGACAGTGAAAAAAGTATAAAGAAAAAAGGTTAGGTGTAAAGACACACGTGATCTTTCACTGATGAAGCAATATTAATTAACTGTAAAGTGAGATTTAAAATTGCAATATATATCAGATGAGGGGTTATTATCTTTATAGATAGTAAAACTGCAGTATTTGTATAACTGCTTTTCATTTGGAAATTTCTTTATAAGAAAGTGTTAAGAGTATACTGTATTGAAATACAGTAATAGAATTATTTCATGTGTGATTTCTTTGTTGCAGTGTGAAAATTCACAAATTTTCTGCCCTTATAATCTTACTAAGATAAATGTCATTCAGAAATACTGTGTTAGCCAAATTTATATCTCATTCAGATAAAAACTAAAATGTAGCATCACTAGTTGTGTAATGAAAATAACAGTATGGTTACTGTGAGAATGTAAAAAATGCCTTGTACAAAAAAAGTTACATAATTTATTCCGAACAATTTGCAGAGATTATTATTGCATGAACAACCTGGAACTGTGATATTCAGAGTTGATGTAAAACAACATAATGATTTTGAAGTGTTTTCAGATAAACTTTTAGACTTGTACAAGTGAGTTGAATCACCTGCATTAGTATATTGTATTTGTAAAAATAATACTATCAAAACTAAACACTGAACCCACAAGGGTCATACAGCAAGGTATATTGTATAAAAGCTCAAATGTGATTTTTTTTTTTTTATGAAATTCAATATTGGGAAATCCTATTTATATAATACACTATATTGAAAGCCTATTTTTTTTTTTTTCTTCTTGCATGTTTTTAAACAACATGCTTACAACATTCTACAGGCCAGCTTAATGGTTCAAGCTAATTATTCTGGTGTCAGTATTAATAATGCCAATAATTTGAATAATAACCAGAGTTTAAAATCTTTTATTGCTTGAAGACTTTTAAGAGTTATTTGAAGATTATAATAATAAGTTGTAGATTTGCACATCTTAGTTTGAAATTATAAATTTTTTAATAGGCTTTTGTTTTCAAATACATATTTGATTGAATTTATTATGGACATTTAGCAAATATTTGGTCATAATTGTCTTGTACAGGACATCTTAAATATAGATAATGAATGTAATATTGTACCTTTTATTTCTTACACAAAGTAATTAAGTGTACGTAGTGGTATTTAACACCTTAAATACAGAGCTTGTCATTAAAGTACACTGGATGGAAGTAATACCACACCCTGGTAGGTTTATTGATAAGGCAAAATTATGCCAGCCTTGCAACTCAAAGCAAGATCTCTGTATTTCCTAAGGCTACTGGCTGCATATTGATTGCAAACATACCATACCACGGGCAGGGACAGAACCAGCGATCAGTCATAAAACTCCAGACCAACACGCTAGCCACTGGGCCAGCTGGCTACAATAAGATTCATCCAACTAGGTACGTATATTTATACATCATAGGAAAGTTAGCATAGGCACCACTGTGACCACAAACGCAAGTTTTTACAGACAAATCTCCTGCCAGCGTGGCCATGACTAACTCTAGCTCAAGTCCCCTCAAAGCCATTGTCATGACTACGGTGCATAAATATACCTAGTTGCATGAATCTTATTGTAGCCAGCTGGCCCACTGGCTAGCGCATCGGTCTGGAGTTTCAAGACACTGATCGCGGGTTCTATCCCTGCCCGTGGTATGTTTTTTTTTTTTTTTTTTTTTTTTTCACCATGTACTGTTCTGAGCAGCAATTACTGGCCTTTGCTAATCAAAAAGAAGCACTAAGCCACAAGGGCTATACAGCGCTGCAGGGCAGGAAGGAAGTGAGGGCATCAGGTGGCAAAAGGGAGATGGATGAGTAATAGGTTACGGAGAACAGCGGGGCAGTGGATGGTGAAAGGGTAAAGGGCAGCAAGAGAATGAGCTAGAAAGGGCTGAGGGGAGTGCGAAAGGTATCATCAGTCGTTGTCAAGAAATCAATGAGAGAGAGTCAGGATTAAAGGAGGGTCCATCAGCAAGAAGGGAAGGTAAAGAGAGAGTAGTAGAGCGGAGACGACGACGGAGGTAAATTCTGCGTGCTCGTTGATAGAGGGCAGTCTAACAGAATGTGGCTAATTGATACGGGAACTTGACACTGCTCACAGAGAGCAACAGGGTGCCTCTCCATGAGATACCCATGAGGAAGACTAGTGTGGCCAATGCGAAGTCGGGAGAGAGTGGTCTCCCAACCTCGGCACTGATGACAAGAAGATGGCCAGTAACCTATGCTCGGTTTAATAGAATGAAGTTTGTTACCAAGCAGAGTTGACCAACGTTGTTGCCAACGGGTGTGAAGGTGGGTAGCTATCACAGCAAAATAGTCCAGAAATGGAACACCTCTATATGAAATTGGTAGGTCATGTGCTGCTGACCGTGCATTATTATAATAATCAAAAAGAAGCGCTAAGCCACAAGGGCTATACAGCGCTGCAGGGCAGGAAGGAAGCGAGGGCATCAGGTGGCAAAAGGGAGGTGGATGAGTAATAGGTTACGGATAACAGCGGAGCAGTGGATGGTGAAAGGGTAAAGGGCAGCCAGAGACTGAGCTAGAAAGGGCTGAGGGGAGTACGTATGGTATCATCATCAGAGTTTGTGGAGTAAATCAGTCGTTGTCAAGAAGTCAATGAGAGAGTCAGGATTAAAGGAGGGTCCATCAGCAAGAAGGGAAGGTAAAGAGAGAGTAGTAGAACGAAGACGGCGTTGGAGGTAAATTCTGCGTGCTCGTTGATAGAGAGGGCAGTCTAACAGAATGTGGCTAATCAATACAGGAACTTGACACTGCTCACAGAGAGGAACAGGGTGCCTCTCCATGAGATAACCATGAGTAAGACGAGTGTGGCCAATGCGAAGACGGGAGAGAGTGGTCTCTCAACCACGGCACTGATGACAAGAAGACGGCCAGTAACCTATGCTCGGTTTAATAGAATGAAGTTTGTTACCAAGCAGAGTTGACCAACGTTGTTGCCAACGGGCGTGAAGGTGGGTAGCTATTGCAGCAAAATAGTCCAGAAATGGAACACCTCTATAGGAAATTGGTAGGTCATGTACTGCTGACCGCGCAGCAGTGTCTGCCTGTTCATTGCCCTGTACGTCGACATGACCAGGGACCCAACAAAAAATAATATCTTTATGCATTCGTAGAGATACGGCGTAGCCAAAGTTGGATACGGAGAACTAGGGGTGGATGTATCAAATTTTCGTATAGCCTGTAGAGCACTAAGGGAGTCTGAGACTACCACAAATGATGACACAGGCATAGATGCGATACGAATAAGTGCTGCAAGAATGGCATACAATTCAGCAGTAAAAATGCTAGCCGAAGATAGTAAATGCCCCCGCACGACGCTGTCCGGAAACGCTGCTGCGAATCCGACGCCGTCTGAAGACTTAGAGCCATCTGTGTACACAGCGATGGCATGAGATGGGAGTGGAATTGATCAAGAAAAAGAGAGCGGGAAGCCACCGTAGGCAGTTGAGCTTTCGAGCATGGGAGTGAGAAAGAACAGACCCGAACAGCTGGAACTTCCCAGGGGGGTAGGGAAAAGTGAGATGCTACATGAACATATAAAGGTGGTAACTGAAGGGAAGACAAGAGTGAATGTAGGCGAAGAGAAAAGGGATGGAGCAAACAGGGGCGGCGAACGAATAAAGAATGTCTACTAATATCGGTGACCATTCTATAAATGGAAGGATTGTGGAGATCGTGAGAGCGTACATAGTAGCGAAGGCAATGGGCATCACTGCGATCAGACAAGGATGGAACATTCGCTTCTGCATAGAGGCTCTCGACAGGGGAAGAGCGAAAAGCACCAACGTAATCCTTGGTGATGGATAGGGTTAAGGCTAGAGAGAGTAGCAGGAGAGGCCGCTGAATAAATCTGGTCACCATAATCGAGTTTCGATAAAACGAGGGCTGAATGTAGGCGAAGCAGAGTTCGATGATCAGCTCCCCAGAAAAGATGAGCAAGGGTTTTAAGAAGGTTTAGCCGGCTGTGACAAGTTGCCTTGAGAGAGGTAATGTGAGGTTTCCAGGATAACCTACAGTCAAAGAGAAGGCCTAGAAACCTGACTGTATCACGTTCGGGGATACGGGAGCCATAGAGATACAAAGGATGATCGGAGATGACAGAGCGTCTACTGAAAGTAATTTGGTGAGTTTTGGTACTTGAAAATTTAAACCCATGCATGGTGGCCCAAGTGGAAACACGGTCGACCGTATGCTGGAGAGAAACTGCAATGAGATGACAGTCAGCGCCTGCACAAGCAATAGCGAAGTCATCAACATAGTGATGACCAAATATTGGGTGGAAGAACATGGGCCAAATCATTTATAGCAAGGAGAAAAAGTGTTGTGCTCAGAACACATCCCTGAGGGACACCTTCAGCTTGGACGAAGTCCGGGGAAAGCACATTATTGACTCGAACACGGAAATGTCTGTCAGTTAAAAAGTTCTTAAGGAAGGATGGGAGATTGCCTCGGAGGCCTAAGGAGTGGGCCTGGGCCAAAATATTATACCTCCAAGTTGTCATATGCCTTCTCAAGGTCAAAAAATATGGCAATAACCGAGTGATTATTCGCAAAGGCATTACGAACATACGTATCCAAGCGTAGTAAGGGGTCTATGGTAGAACGGCCCTTACGAAAGCCATATTGACTAGCGGAGAGACTGTTGTCTCTAAATACCACATTAAACGTCGATTTGCCAGACGTTCCATCACTTTGCAAACTGCACTAGTAAGAGTGATGGGACGATAGTGGGAGGCATCATGTCCTGTAGTACCCGGCTTGCGGAAAGGGAGAACAATGGCAGATTTCCACAGCTGGGGAAGAACTCCTTGTGCCCAAATAAGACTGAAGAGGTGTAAGAGGCCTACAAGGGCTGACTGATGTAAATGTTGTAACATACAAATATGAATGTCGTCAGGCCCAGCTGCCAATGATTGGCAAGCTGAGAGCGTTGCCTCCAGTTCCTGAAGTGTAAAAGGCACATTATACTGTTCTTCTCTGAGAGAAGAAAAGTCCAAGGGTACTAACTCTCTGGCAGACTTTGAGGAAAGAAACGAGGGGCATAGATGGAGCCCCCGGGAAATACGGACCAGATGAGTGCCAATTTCAATGGCAACATCAAGAGGGTTTGCTACATCAACACCAGCGACCTGTAGAACAGAAGCGGGGTCAGGAGAGTATTTACCACTCAATTTCCTCACTTTTTTCCAGACTGCACTCATAGAGGAAGCAGAGGTGATGGTGGAAAGTCTTGCCAGCAAGTGCGTTTAGCATCACGGATGACACGGCGAGCGATCGCACGCTTATGCTTAAAATCAAGAAGTCTCTCATTGGTTCTATTGTACCGGTACCTGCCCCTTGCAGCGCGTTTCAAACGTACTGCACGAGCACAAGCAGGAGACCACCAAGGCACGCACTTCTGAGAATGCCTGCCTGAGGTTTGGGGTATAGAATGAGAAGCTGCGGTATAAACTGACGTCGAGAAGAGGTGTAGGAGCTCATCAATGGAGGATGAAGAAGGAACCTCGCTAAAAGCAGTGAGTTGGGAGTAAAAGTCCCAATTTGCCCGATCAAATTGCCAGCGAGGGCTACGGAAAGGTGGTGAATAGGAAGGAGAAGTTAGAATGATTGGAAAATGATTGCTGTCATGTAAGTCCGGTAGAACAGACCAGGTGAAGTCTAGTGCAGTGGAGGAAGAGCAGACTGATTATCGATGCAAGAGAGAGTATGAGTACGAGGATCAAAATGGGTGGAGTACCCGTATTTAAAACATGGAGTGGGTGAGAGGCAAGAAAAGCCTCCAACTGGATGGCCACGTGAGTCACAATGAGACCCCCCCCCAGAGGAAATGGTGGGCGTTAAAATCACCAAGTAACAGAAGTGGTGGTGGTAAGGATGAAACTAGAAAGGCAAAATCTGGATAAAAAATGCTCGAGAAGGAGAGAGATATAAAGAACAATTGTAAACCACTTATTCAAGTGGATACAGGCTGCAGTGTAATGCAGCGAGGTATGGACAAATAGTTGACAGTAAAGAATATCATTGCGTAGAAGAAGGGCACTTTCATTAAAGGTTTCCCATCTGAGAAAGGATCCGAAGAATACAATAAATTATAGCCTGAGATAGGTTGGAAAACAGCTGAGTGTAATTTTGGTTCTTGTAAGCAAGCACCAACAGGGGAAAACCTGGAAAGCGACATCTGAAGCTCAGCCCGATTACCCCTGAGGCCGCGGATATTCCACTGTAAATAGGCCATGATTGGCAATGAAGAAAATACCAGGAATCCGTAGGGAAGGGCACCTACAGACTAGAGGGGTTAGAAAAGTCAACGTGTGGTGGCATTGGAAGACGTTCAAGCAGCGAAGGAACGGAGCGTTGCGAAGAATGGAGTTGTGGAGATGGAGGAGAGGGAAGAGAAGGAACAGGAGGTGGATCAGTGTCCATTGAAGGTTTAGTCTCTGCAATATATTCTGAAATGGCTTCAAGTGTTTCTGAATTCAAAGATGTATGGGAGACAATATTGGAGGTAGGAGGAGGGTGAGTAAAGATTGGGATAGTAATGGACTGTACCAAAGTAGGGGGGGACGAAAGAGTGTAGGGGACTGGAGAAGAAGTGTGGGAGGGGACAGAAGAGGCAGAAACCTGGGAGGTGGCAGAAGAGGGAGAAACTTGGGAGGGGACGGGGGTGGAAGGCATAGTATGAGGAGGAGGGTGAACCTCCACACTTGTAATAGAGCCAGAGAGAGGGGAAGAACTAGGAAACAGAGACTGGAAAGGTAAAGTGCGGAGGTGGAAGAAGGGAAGGAAGGGGCAACGAAGATTTGAGCACGGGTTTTTTGGACCTCTGAGAAGTAGAGGGGCGATTGGTATAAAGTGTCGTACGGGGTCTTGTCGATACCGGGGCTTGTGAGGAAGGACGCGAAGATGTGAGAACAGACTGAGTTGTAGTCAGGACGTCAGAGCCAAGGACAGCAAAAGGATTAGATGCCAGAGTGGCTATGGGAGGGGTAACAACAGAGGAGGCTGCAGAAGATGGGACCCCAGAAGTGGGGGGACGTTTTGAAACGCAAGAATAAGAAACACTGGGTAGTCTCCCTTGGAGGCGGAGATGAGTAACTGCCATAGCAAAAGGGAGACCTTCTGTCTCTTTGAGGCAACGGATTTCACGCTCATTCAAGTAGACCTGGCAATGGCGAGAGTACGAAGGGTGAGCCTCATTACAATTAAGGCAAGATGGAGGTTGACTGCAAGATGTACACTATTAGAATGGTCGTCGGCACCACAGACTGGGCATTCGGCTATAGATCTGCAATATTTCACTGGGTGACCAAAACGACAGCAATTTCTACACTGTTGCGATGTAGGGATCACCTTTCGAACTTGTAACCAATGTCCCGCGACATAAACGGAGGACGGGAGTTCACTGCTGTCGAAAGTTAATCGAGCCACATTGCAAGGGTAACGTCTCCGCCCGCGGGCAGGAAGGACATAAGTGTCTACTTTGAGGATTGGGAGATCCTGGAGTTCCAGCTGTTCAAGAATGTCATTGCCACATGACTGGAAATTCTGCTGGATTATATATAGTATGGGGCAGAATGACAGTACCACTACAAGAATTGAGAGAAAGATGTTTTTCAATAGTGATAGGAGTAATATCGATATGCGAAAGGAGAGAAAGATCATGAGCTTGGGTAGCATTCTGGACAGTGACGATGCACGTACCGCTCTTGAGAGCATGAAATGAAACATCTCTACCAACATGGCGCAGGAGCGCTTTGCCCATACTATGGTCAGAAAGATAGGCAGAAGAAGTCGGTCTTAAAGTAAAGAATTTAGTCCATTGTGTGGTCCGAAACTGAGCGTGGAGAGGAAGTGCATGACGTGTCGGTCTTTTCTGAGTAGAATGGGAAGGTAATGAAGGAACATCATAAGGAGATTGTCGTTGGCGTTTAGGAGTAGGACCGGAGTTGGTCTGTCGTG